AAAATGTGGGTGGGGGGGGGGGGGGGGGGGAAAAAAAAAAAAAAAAAAAAAAAAAAAAAAAAAATATTTTTTTTTTAAAAAAAAAGGGAAAAAAAAAAAAGAAAAAAAAAAAAAAAAAAAAAAAAAAAAAAAAAAAAAAAAAAAAAAAAAAAAAAAAAAAAAAAAAAAAAAATTAAAAAAGGAAAGAAGGAAGGGGGGTTTTTTAAAAAGGTGGTGGGGGGGGGGGGGGGGGAGGGAAGGGGGGAGGGGGGGGGGGGGGGGGGGGGGGGGGGGAGGGAAAAAAAAAAAAAAAAAAAAAAAAAAAAAAAAAAAAAAAAAAAAAAAAAAAAAAAAAAGAAAAAAAAAAAAAATTTTAAAAGGGGGGGGGGAAAATTAAAAAAAATAAAATTATTAAAAAAAAAAAAAAAAAAAAAAGGGGGGAAAAAAAGATGGAAAAAAAAAAAAAAAAAAAAAAAAAAAAAAAGGGTGAACTATGCAAATATTTCATATAATAGTTATTAGTTACTGATGTATCTCATTGATATACAATATACATAATAACCTCGTTTTATTCTTTCGAGATGTGTATTAATTATTATTAATACACTATTATAATATTCTAAGTGTCATTGTAATTTGATTTTATTCTGTTGTTGCTATTTGGTTATGTGTACATATTTTTACTAATTAATTATTTATTGTTTTGTTAAAATTAATACACTACATTATTATCTAACTACTTATAAAATTATCAAATATTAATCGCGTCATAAGCTGTATTACATATCTAGATAAAGAAAGAATAGTAATTTATTTTACATAAGTATTTCTACATTTTACACATTGGCGATATTCTAACTAAATTTAAAAAATGGTAATAACGGTGCATAAAAACATTGTGTCTGGACCAGAAGAGGAACTTATACCAGCGCACTTATCCTATGGACAGTTTCTATATGATAAATTTAAGAGTGGTGGAAATAAAACAGCTCTAGTAAGTCTTAAAGAAAAATTTGTATTATTTTCAAAAATAACATCTTTTATGTGTACATGTAAACAGTACAACAGAATGTAAACAGGTGTATAATTATTTTACAGGTGTGTGGGGAGACTGATAGATCTGTGACCTACAGAGATATTCTGCAGAAAAGTGTTAATTTAGCTGTAGCACTTCAAGGCCTTGGTCTGAAAAAAGGTGATGTTGTTTCACTTAGCTGTGAAAACCGGTTTGAATTTACATCAACATCCCTTGCTGTAATATTCTGTGGTGGAGTACTATCTACTCTTAATGTTACATACTCACCAGGTAAGGTATTTATGACATGTAATAGTCCACTCTTAATAAATGGATCTTTATCTTAGCTGCTGTCGTCATGTCCCTAAAAAATAGGTCATAATTTATGACTATTATTTAACTGGAAAATTAAAATTAAATAAAATTATTTTATTGTTTTTTAAGATAAGACGATAAAGATTCTAAATAATTTCAGGTGAGATAAGCCATATTCTAGAAATAACAAAACCAAAGTTTATATTCACCTCACCAATAACAGCACAAAATATATATGACTGTAGTAAGGACCTGAAATATGTTCAAAAGCTTATCCTGTTTGGGGAATATGACGTTGTACCTGCACTGTTCTATGATGAATTAATTAAAGACCATGTCAATGTGGAGGACTTTAATCTAGTGGATGTTAATGGCGCTGAAGACACTGTGGCTATTATGTGTTCTTCAGGTACCACAGGATTGCCAAAAGGTGTGATGTTGACACATGTTAACTTTCTAACACTATCATCTCATATGAGGTAATTGGTTAATTACATGTTAAATTACATAAAATTTTTGCAATCCAAGGCCTTGGCTATTTGTGACTTGTTCAAATTTATATTTTTTTTTAAAGTCATAACGTTTGCTTAAAAAAGTATGTAATAATAGATAAGCAAATAAATATCTAAGCATATAAAACAAATATATATTACCTGTTTCAGATACTATTTAAATGCATCTCAAGAAAGGAAGGGTCACATTGTAAAAAGAGGGCTATCCTTAATACCATGGTTCCATGCGTATGGATTCATAACAACACTGGCAGTTCTAGCATTGCATGTTGAAGTGGTATTCTTAATGAGATTTGAGGAGGAACAGTTTTTAGCAACTATAGAAAAGTATAAGGTAATTAAACTATATTAAGATTTCCTATATAAACTATATTGCGGAATTTTTTTTTTTTGAAACTGTAAAATATGAAATACACAAAGGTTTAAATCTTTTTTGCAAGATATGCCTTTTAATGTATATTTTTTTTAGATAAACATGACAACAATAGTGCCACCATTAGCCGTGTTCTTAGCAAAACATCCTCTTGTGACCAAGTATGACCTGTCATCACTTAACGAAGTGTGGTGTGGAGCTGCCCCACTTTCTAGAGAAATACAGATTGCCATCAGTGAGAGGTTTGATATTAATATTTATTTTAATTACGAATAACATGCACACATTGATTTACATTCAGCATTCAAATATAAAAATACCAATGGCAATAGTTCCAATGGTAAATGATATAATGACCAATGGTATAATGGGTGGTAGTTCAAATGTAAAACCCAGATTGTGATGTCTGTTACCGTCTCCGTCACTTAATTATTTCAAGTTTCAAGTTAAGTTAGTAGTCAATGAAACAGAGGAATTAAGACAATTCGCTGGATTGGGATTACAGGAATTCAAATCAAAAACTATTTGAAAATAATAATTTAATCATATCCTAGACCTTAATTAACTACTCCCAAACATTTATTTCTGTTTTTTCGCATGGATATAGGATTCAGCTTAAATAATTTCATAGCCGAAAATAGTAAGTATATATCAGATAGAATATTGTATTAATTAGTTCTATAAATTATAGAACAGGTATAGACTTCATAAGACAAGGCTATGGGCTCACAGAAGTGACGATGGCGTGTTGTGTGGACGTCATAGGAAAAGCCAAGATTGGCTCATGTGGGACACCCGCGCCAGGAATGAAGATAAAGGTATTATATAAATTTGTAGTTTATTCTTAACTTATAAATATTAAATCTCGGATTGTCCAGATTCACAATTAAGGACGCTAGATGGCGGTGTCTGATCGGCTCGAGTCGTGTTAATTATATATATTCGTATAACCCGGAGGTCTTGGGTTCAGTTCCGACAGTTTTTTTGTTTAAGAGTATCATTGAATCAATTTACGTATGTTAGTGACGATACTGGTCATGGTTGAAAATTAATTCAAAGACATTTCCTGTTTTTTAAGACTTCTTTTATAGATTAAAGGCCAGTTTTAGTAAAATTCGGCAGTTGTTAAATTTTTGTACTTGTTATTCTAGATAGATTCAGAAAAATATTTTTTTTACTTTCAGGTTATAGATATAGATTCCAATAAACCTTTAGGTCCAAATAAAGAGGGTGAGGTCTGGATCAAATCTCCTCTTCGTATGAAAGGTTACTTGGGAGATCCTGAGGCTGGTGATGCTTTGCTGGACAAAGAGGGTTACATCAGGACTGGAGATATTGGATACTATGATCAAGAAGGCTACATCTATATTGTGGATCGATTGAAGGAACTTATTAAATATAAAGGATTTCAGGTACTAACATTATTAAACATTTAAATAATTGAGACACAGTAGACATTTATAAAAAAGGAAATAAAAGTCGCCTCACTTACTTTCTGATTTAACAAAGTAAAATACTTAAATCAAGCAACATTTAATTTTAAAAAATTTCAAAATTAACATGACAAGTCTATCAATAGATCTTCTAGAATTCTTTTTACAATCTCACCCAGCCTAACATTCTTCATTTAGAAAATCTAAAAAAAAACCCTTATTTTAGTGTCTAAAACATGTAGATCTCAGTCTTAGGTTCCTCTTAGTTTTTCCAAATGTCACTTATTAATCAGGTGGCTCCAGCTGAGCTAGAAGCCTTATTGCTCCGCATGGATGGTATAGCAGACTGTGGAGTAGTTGGACTCCCTGATGAAATAGCTGGAGAGTTGCCCGTTGCCTTTGTGCTCTTACAACCCGGAGCCAAGTTGACAGAAACCCAAATCACCGAATACGTCGCGTCAAAGGTATACATACATTATAAAAGTATCTTCATAACTTGTATAGGTTTTTCCATAAATCAGTCAAGTCAAAATCGGATGGTAGCGGCTAATCCCAGATGAAAACACAATCTTTTTATTGTAGTGTTATATCAAAAAAGGAAATATTGATTTTTAATGTTTCTAAAGAAATCTTAAATCTCCTATTAGGTACTAGTTGCTCTGTATTAGTTTAACGCCAAGACAAAGACTTTTTGCTTTCTAATTTTAACTAAAAACAGTTTTTCTTAACAACATTTGCATTTTAATAACTTTACGAATATAGTTCCATTCCCAGATTAAACTTTTTTTTTGTTACATATATAAGGCATGCTTCAGGCTCTATGAATTATACAATTAAGTAAATAATATTTTATTTATATCTTTCTGTATAAGACATTGACTAAGCAACAAGTATCACAAATTATCTTAATAAACTGATAAAGAGAAATGATAATGTATCTGGATATAGGTATTGTACTTTGTGATTACATATTGGATCTTGATATGATTTTATATTTATTTCACGGTTTAACTTGATAAATTTCATGTTATTTAAGTAGGTAGTTGAGTCACTAAAAAGTGTTGAGTCAGGGTGATTATAAATTATTTTCATTTATTTAAAGTTTTTTCAATTTTTTTGCAGGTATCGCCGGCGAAACGTTTGCGCGGCGGAGTTATATTTGTCGACGAAATACCAAAAAATCCGTCCGGGAAAATATTGAGACGAGAATTGAGGAAGCAATTACAGTCTGATAAAAAGAGCAAACTATAGTGCCATAAACTATGACTTACAATTGTTATAAATATTCAGAAAAAGAATTTATATTAAAATAAAACTATGGACACTATATACAAATATTTAATATATTTCTCCAAAAATTAATTCAATAAATATTAAGCAGAAAGCTTATCTTTTAACTCTTGTGGTATTCTTTGAACTGCATAGTTATGTAATTCATCATTGACAGCTGCAAGCACACCAGTTTTGTTTGGTCTTGATTCAGATGCTCCATATTTATAGAAATTACCAAGTACATCAGTCAACTTTCCCCCTGCTGCATTAAGGACTGCCTCAGGCGCACATGTATCCCACTTCTTACATCCAGGGCTAGCAAACACATAAATAGATGCTTTTCCTTCTAATAATTGTAACACCTGAAAAACCAGGAAATTGAATTCAATTAACTTAAGATTAGAAGCCATTTTCACAAGATTTTTTTAATTATTTTTATTTGATTATTTAGTAAGCAAATGAAATTACCTTGTATCCTGCTCCACCAACTCTAAGAACTTGTGCTGCTTTCATAACTTGGAGTGCATTTTCGACAATAGGATTTGAATGGCTTCTTGTAGTTGTAATGATCAAAGATTCAGGAGGATTTCCAGGAGTAAAACCACCAACACCAACATCCTTTAACCCCCAAATAGTGCGGCCCATTTTATTTTCATTCTTAAAATACGGCTGATGAATAACACCCCCTATTGGTTTCTCGTTCACAGAAATTCCAATCAGAACAGTAACATGTTCAAGAAAACCTAAAACAAATAACAATATATTATTATAACATATATTAATATATTATTATAACATATATTAATAACAATATATACATTCTTTCCATTGATGCCATATCATGCAAAGCCATAAATTTATTATTTATCCATAGTAATTAGTTTTGATCATGCACCAAACATTAGAATTCCCGAAGTATTTGTTAATTTACATAGATGTGGTGTTATTTAAAATATTTATATACATTCTACATTAAGAACCCATGAAAACACTACCTAGTCTAGTAAAGAGTTGTAAATGCTTTTCCATTTACCATATTTTGAGTGTAGTAAACTTAAATACCATTTCATACTAATAAATGGATGTGTTAAGTACATTTTCCACCTTTCCCAAGGATCTCTCTTCAACATTAGAGCACCTAAAATGTTTTCAGTGAAATATATATAGTTCCTTTTTATTATTTTAAAGTTAAATTAAAACAATATGCCAAAGCAATTAAGGGACCTTTTTTATTCAAATTAGTTACCTTGTGTGTATTCAGCAGTTCCATCAAGAGGATCAACCCAAACTACAATATCTTCTTCCTTTATTCCTTTCAAGCTAGCTGGACACTCCAAGCTTAATATTTCCTTGTCTGCATCTGTTTCAAGGAACTCATGTGAAGACTGAATCTGAAAAAATATCGTTTTTGGTGGGTTTATTTGAATACAATCCTTGGAAACTTGATAATACTATAATGCAGTACATAATTACCTCATTTCCATCTTCTTCACCAATTATTCTTACTTTAGGATACTGCGCAGATAGGGAGGCAATAATACATCTTTGAGCAGAGCGGTCAGCCTCTGTTTGATAATCATCTTTACCCTAAAAATATTGAGTTTATAACGTTCGTCAAAGCATTAAAATTTATAGCAGTCACGTTTAATTATTTTACCTTTTCCACAATGCCGAGTTCGCCTTTACTCATTATATCTCTAACAATTTTACCAGCTCGGTTGGCAACAGAAACTGATGAAGCTAACAATCTCACTATGAGTGGAGCGGTTTGCGACATTTTTACAATAAACTATAACAATTAACTTAAAAAAGGTCAGAAAAGGTTACAGCTGGATGAAATATACAAACTGTAGAAAGTGCTGCAGTCGTGGTCACCGTGGTGTTAACTAAAATTTTATTGGACGTGTTTGCTATTAAATTGTAGTTTGTAGGGGTTTCGTTCGCTCACTCATCATAATGTCAATGTCACTTTTTTTGAAGATATGTCACTACCATAGAGTACATTATATATAGAATGGTAGATATTTACTATTTAGTCACATCACATTTATTATTAAATTTTATTAATGGTATTTGGTGATATACTGCGGTTTGTATAGTTTAAAATTGTATGAATCATACTTACTACAATAAAATACTTATGCATATATTGTGCTCGTATACCTCAATTATTTTAGGAGCTTTTTTAATGTTGATTATTTCTAGCCTAACTACTATACCTACGATACCTGGCATAATTTGAAGTTCGCCTGCAGTAGTATTCCACACACAAATAAATTTCGTAATCTTTATATATGCTTTCCGCGTCTATGAAACTAGAAGTTTCGGTAGTTCCTTAATCCATCGTCTTCTTTTGTTTTAGCTTCACATTCAGACTAGGCAATTTTTTTTAAATTTCGACACATAGTTCACACAAGCAATTGCTTCTTACGATATATATGTCACCGTAAAATTGTAAACACCGTTAGATTGTAATCTATCTCGCGAGATTGTAAACTGTCGAAAGATTGTGAACTCAACGTACTGCTTACAATTTAACGTATTATTATTCGGTAGATTGTAATCTGTCGAAGTGAAACCGTCAAATTGTGAAATGGCCATTTTCTACTTTTCTATTGGTTATAAGTTATGTGACATTCTCGTTTTCTATTCGTTATAAGTGATGTGACATTCTCGGTAAATTAATCGGATCGATTATTTCCTCATTTGTTATTTTTAAATTTAAACCTAATTTAACCATTACATTAACTTCATGTTTCAATTAGTGTATGGTTCCGAAAAATTTTAAATTATTCAAAAAGTACCCAAAACCGAATCAGAGCACCCCACTATCCACGTGGTCTTGTCTGCCCTACCCCTAGAGTGTATATAAAAAAATCGGAGGCGCAGTGGAAGAGCAGCCCCCACCCGCTGTAACAAAGCACAGGCATTATGCAAGCCGTAGCGGCTAAGGCTGGTCCAAAAAGCCAAAGCTGCGGAGGCTTGAATAAATTGCCTGTGCTTTGGTACGCAAGGGTGGAGGGGCTGCATTTCCCGTAGCGCCGGTGCTGTCCAAAAAATGTATTATTATTCGGTTAGGTAAGGTTAGTATATTAATATTTTTTTTTAAATAACTGATCAACTGAAACTCGAAATCGAATACAAAAATCGATTTTCACTTTTAATTTTTTTAAATAGATTATTTTTGAATAATTTCAAAATTTTCGGAACCCTACACTAATTGAAACATGAAGTTAATGTAATGTATGTACATTTGACAAGTAATGGTTAAATTAGGTTGAAATTTAAAATTAACAAATGAGGAAATAATCCATTCGATTAGGTTCAACTTTAAAATTAACAAATGAGGAAATAATCGATTCGATTAATTTACCGAGAATGTCACATCACTTATAACCAATAGAAAACGAGAATGTCACATCTCTTACAACCAATAGAAAAGTAGGAAATGGCCGTTTCACAATTTGACGGTTTCACTTCGATAGATTACAATCTACCGAATAATAATACGTTAAATTGTAAGCAGTACGCTGAGGTTCACAATATTTCGACAGTTTATAATCTCGCAAGATAGATTACAATCTAACGGTTTTTACAATTTTACGTTAACATATATAATTTATAATGATACATTACATATTTATATATGAACAATAAGGCAATTAAAACCAGTGATATCTTATTTAAAAATCCACTTTATTTCGTAGTAGAATAATATATCTTTACTTACAATAGCTCAAGAGTTTGATTAAACACGTTAATAACAGAACCCTCTCTAACTTCTAATAGCGAACCCGATCTCAATAATGAATTTTGTACCACGCGATCCCAAGAAACCACACGGTCGTAACTTAAACATATAACGGGTCATCTTTAAAACATATAAAAAATCTGCGCATAAAACTGATCTTTTTAATTAACTTAATATGCATAATGCATTAATGGAATGATTATCCATGCCACCGAGCACCGAGATAATATAGATATTAAAAAATTATATAAAAACCGCATTAAAACTAAGCTAAGGCACATTTCAACAATACATTCTTATGCTTACAATCAATTTATATTTTACACATTTTAATTCGCGATTTATATGATTGATAAAATAAATCTAATATAAAATTAATCCACACCCTTCATAATATACGTATTGCATGATTTTATTTGACAAAATTCTTTTAAAAGTTGTAATAACATAAGACTTGCTCGATAATTTTCTTTTATAAAAATAAATATTAAGGAACTACATCAATATATTTACTTTTCACTCTCCCTTTCTTTCTTTTTATATATATTGTCTCAAATGGCAGAGGGAATTTCACACATTGTCACTGACTTGCTGCAGTATGTGCATAATAACCTGATCGATAGTGTGTGTGCCGAGCATTTTAGCAATATTCTTGTCTTCGACCACGTAGATAAACAGATGCTTCGTGTTTTCCCGCAGGCACTGAACTCGAGACCACTTTTCGCGATCGGCCGGGCGTGCCCCACAGTTTTCTATCACCTTCTCTAATATCTATAACAGTTAAATGAATTCTTATGTTTATTGATACATTATTTGTATCATCACTCGGTCTCGAGACTCCTATATTTTTTGTTTATCATATTTCATCATCAAATGTATGAGCAAGAATCATTTACACTAGTAAATAGAATAATTGAGAAGAATAATTCTTAGAAGAATTAAAAAATAACTTACATCTTCAATAGGCTGATCTGGCCAACCAAATGCCTCGAGCAACTCTTGATCAATAAGTTTGGACAAAAGCTCTTTGAGATTTTCTATTAATTCCTCTTCACTCAGCAGCGTATTTGGTTCATTCTGTAACATTTGGGATACATATAAAGTCTTGTTTCTAAACAATATTATAAAAATATTAACATTTCTATATATAATTGGCCCACTCCTGTGAGGGTAATTTTTTTGTCACCTTCGGTAATTCAATCTCAATTTGATCGTTGATATCCTGCAGCCCTCCGTACAGTACGCCAGTGCCGTAGTCCTCGATGATGCGGTCAGATTCCGCATCTAACATGTTCAAGATCGCATCTAGCTCGGACTTCGACACACGGGGCGTGGTCACACGAGGCGTAGTGGCGTAAGACCCCTGTAATATATTAAACGTATAAATGAGAAACACATTTATGTCCCATGATAATTGTTTTCCAGGCTAAACGGGCAGATTCTGACCGAGGTGTTAATAATACAGTGTATAACGCTGTAAACTCTATATAACGAATTTCAAGGGCAAGGGCCCCACAGGCAATGTAATCTAAGAATAATGGCACAAGTGTTAATGAAAATAAGAATAGCGAGAAGGCTGTTTATGACCTCAGGTGTCTCTCATAGATATTTCGGCACCTCAAAAGGTTACTTTTGTAAGCTGATAGACAATGGCTGTTGCGTTATAAACATTGAATTAATGTATGGGTATTGTGTTAAACCAAACAAACGTTTTTTTTACGTTACACTGTAATAACAAAATTTATTACATAAGGAAATGTAAAGGACTCAAAAATCATAAAGAAAAGGCAAAGAAGGCTGTTCACCTACTTGTCTGTAATGTAATGATCCAGAAAGCTTAAAATAAGACTTAAATTTTTTATAAAGGCGGTAAATGCTTACGAGCACACTCCGTACGTGCATCAAGCGCTGCATGAACACGTCCGCGTGGTGCTTCCTCACGTGTCGAAGCAAATGTTCGCCCCTGACGTACGCCCTCGCGTTCACGCAGTACATGCAGCGACGCGGACGGTCCAGAGCGTGCGTGGGCACGTGACGACGCATGTTGATTTCCTTCTCAAAGGGTTTGCCGCACACCTCGCACTTGAACGCTAAAAACATTTGGTTGGAGTCTTATAACACAGTGTGTGCACCTTTTGTAATGATATCTTAATGTAGGACTAATAAAAGCCGATTTCGGATAATCTTTATATAATTCTACTGTACGTGTGTGTCACTGTACCCCTGTTAAACGGCTGGATCTATTTGAATAATTTTTGCACGCCTCGCAGTACTCTACTCTCGACATGTCAAAAAACCCAGTCTTTCGAAACTTGAATGACTTTTTTCTCACTAATATAACACTTACAGGATAATATGAATGCACTAAAATCGAGTTAAATAATCTATCAAGCACATATGCTATTTTTTATGAACAATTATTTTGTTTAACATAGTAAATAATTACATTAAAATCAATCATTCTTGGATGTCCGTCAGTCTGTGTTTATGGATCCATGTATGTGGCAGAGAAATTGGTCGAAAAATTTATCGTACCAGAATACTTTTTTTCTTATTATATAAAGTTATACCCTGGGCTGATTCCTAGTTAATATTAGCGTTCTAAGTACTGTCGTGTAATTATAATTTGTAAAAAACTAAAATACGACTGTTCCTCACCTTAGAGTTATGGCGCCACTAAATATGTATGTTTAAATATTATTCGTAGCGTGAGACTTAAAGATAATAATTTATTTGTTATTTTGTTTTAAAAAACTTGAATTTATGTTTTAGATTTTTTTTTTTAAATGTGAATGACTATGCGACTATGCTATGAGGCGTGCCCTTTTGGATTTTCCAAACTATTTTTTGTATGCGTTTGGGTGGCGCCCTGGATGGTTTACTTTTAGATTCACAAAAAGCCGGGCAGATGGCATTGCAGTCGGTATTTTCATACTTTGTTTAATATCCTAATAGCTTGAAATATCTCTAGATGCTACAGATATTTTTAGTATGTCTATGTTGTGCTTTTGGGTGAAAAACTATGTGCCAATGACAAAATATTTGCGTTTTAAAATGCAAATATTCACTAATCACTACCTATTTGAAGCTTATAGACAATTAGTACATTATAATAAACAGTTAAAACACAAAAAATAAGAGCAAAAATAAGTTTCTTTAAAATAGACTTAATAAAGTTGAGCATATTATTTTATAAGTTGACACAAGTACCTTGGAGGTGTTCTTTTATATGAATGGATTGATGTTCTTCATTTTTAAAATTTTTTTCACTGCAGTCTTCGAATGGGCATGAAAGATCGTTTGGATCATGCTGTGCTTCGTGAATTTGGGCCCTTTAAAAAACATAATAATATGTGAATTCTGCAAGATTTTGAAATAAACTCTCAGCTTAACAGCTTTATAAATTTTATTATACTATTTTTATAAATATATATTTTTCAATAGTAACCTTTTTTTTTTTTATGTGCGATACAAATGTAAAGTAGTATAAGGATTTGTACAAATTTACAAATGAAAGAAACTTACTCCTCTCTGGTCTTGAAGCGTTTTGGGCAAATATTGCAAACAAATTCCATATGTTGATTAAGGTGTCTCAAAAGCTGGGCTTTCTGTATGAAGGAGTTGGAACAGATACTGCACTTGTAGGGCTTATCCTCGACATGTGTCAATGTATGACGCCGCATCACCTCAATTGTGTATGTGCTGTAGCCACACTGCAAATGCCAGTTTATAGGAAAGTATAATAATTAAAAAGAATTTTCAGCTTAAACAAAAAATCTAATCTGGAAATATATATACAAAGTGGTAATCGCCTCCTAGGCCTTAGTTTTAAAAAACTTACCATTAATCAACATCCACAGCAGCAAATAAAATGTAAAGTCTAATCAATAACAAGTAGAATAAATAAGTAGAGTTAATGTAAGGCTGTATAAAAAATGGTTTTAGCCGTTGAACATTTTTTTTAATATTTACATTTACCTTTCAAGTAGGTATAAAAATCATAGAAAGACCACTTACCACTTCACAAGCATATTTCTTATCACCATGAATCTCAAGATGCTTTGTCAATGAGCCTCTAGACTTTGTTAACTTCCCACAGTAATCACATTCATATTGTAAAGGCTTGGCTACAATAAGATAATACATTACTATTAGTGTATTATTTAAATGTAAAAAAAAATATACCAATAAGTTTTACTTACGTAAATGTATTCTTTGTGAGTGAAGAATGAGTTTTGAGAAATTCTTTGTTGAAAAATCACACATCTTGCACTGAAATCTTTTGTTCATGATATGTTGTAGCCGAAGATGTACCAAAAGATTATCTTTTCTTGAAAATTTTGCAGAACATATCTAGAATTTATAAGTTCAAATATATATAATTGTTATGTTATTAAATTTATCCCATATTCAAAGATTTATTTAGGTGGTCTGGAAGAGATTACTGAGGAGGCAGCCTTTTTAACAAATCACTTACTGTTTTTTAAGGTTTACATAATTATTTATTATAATACACAGCAGAAAAAAAACATGTGAGTTTTCTATGAATATATATTTAACTTACACCACAAGAAAATTCACGAAGCTTCCGGCCATCACAACCTTTTTGCAACATGTGACGAGTTACATGTGCTCTTCTTACAAAAGTCTGAGTACAGAACTGACATGAATATGTGCCTGAGTTATGTTTCTTATCTAAATGATCTTGTAAAATTTCTTTATTTGGGCAAATAACAGAGCAGTGTTCACAACAAACCCCATCAGGACCTTCATAATGCTCATTTTCAACATGTTTTTTATAGCTCTTCTTAAACACAAATACTTTAGAGCATTTAGGACAGTGTAATTTAGGCTGAAACAAATATAAAACAGCACTTTTTAGGTAAACTTTGATTAAACTAGAACTAAATTTAAGTTATTAATCATGAATAATCAATTATTACATTAGTATTACTAGTATCAGCAATAATCCATTATTAGATTTGTATTACAAGTTGCAGGGTTAAAAATACCATTGTCTATTACTGTCCAATTGTACACATTGACTCTAAACTAACATAATATCAGGAAGTAAGTACATAATAATATAAATATGAAGTCATAATTTTTCCTACGAAAAATACAAAAAAAACAAATGATATAAGATTGTATTTGAAATAAGATAGAAGAATATCTGTATTAATTTGTTCCTTTTAACTTATTTTTTAATTTTTCACGTAATATTTCCTACCTTCTCTTCATGTAATGTATCATTCCCACAGCTATTGACATGCGCAATCAAATATTGCCTCTTCTTAAAGGATTTCTTACAATAGGAGCAAATATATTCCATAACTTCTTTGCTCAGATTTTCCGACACTTCGATGTCATTCTCAAAAACTAAATTTTGCCTTGAGTTTAATGGCTGAGATAATTTATGACGTGGCCGTCCTCTTTTGCGTTTAGGAGGCATTTTTTTAGAAAATTATAAAAGCACTCCTAAAATAACTTATTATTCTATTTGAACAAACTTACACTTTAGTCTTTGATATTACTTTCATTCAGGCGCTATTTGCTTAATTATGGCCATGCTATACTATCCTTGCTTTAAAGTTTTAAATGGAGTAACTACACAGAGTATATATTATAATAGAGTTAACAGACTAGAGAGGTATGGCATACGACTGTGACAAAAGACGACGATACTAGCTAATAGCTATTTGGCTCTAAACGTCAGTAAGTCACACTTATGAGAGAATGAGACGGCTAAATTTCACGAATGTTTTTCTTTGCAAGGTGGTGCGAACCTTATTGGAAAATTCTTTGGCTGTCATTATTACAGGGATTTATATAATTCATCTTAATCATCTCATCTAACCAAAGCTAGGTTATTTTGAGTAAAACTCAAGTTGTTGCTTTTTTAATGCAGGTACTTTTGATGTTTGAGGTGAAGAGTATATTATGTTGCATGTTTCCGTTTCCATGGTGATCCAGACTGTAAACAAACAACACTTCAGTAGCCGTACTTTTAACTTGTGTAAATAAATACTTAAGTAACATTTTTGCCTTTATTAAAATACTTACAAAATAATAATAAGTGCTCAGTGATAGCTAGAATAACATGAATCATGGAAAAAGAATTAGATTTAAGCATTATAAAAGCTACTCAATTGTCTCTTGGCAAATACGTTAAACGTCCTCCACTATCCGATAAACTATTAAAAAAACCACCCTTTCGTTTCTTACACGATATTGTAACTTCAGTAAGTACTACATACAAAATATTACCTTTGTAATAATTATTTTCATCACTCCTTTTTTCCAGGTGTTGGATTTTCACGGAAGCTTCTAGAATTTTAACATTAATTTAATTTGTAGATTATAATCACTTAAGTTTTCACAAGAATAACATTTAAATATTTGTATTCAAAATTATTCACAGGTATTAAAATCAACAGGATTTTTTGAAGGTTTATTTGAAGACCATGAACTTAAATCTGACAATGTCAAAGACAGAGAAGCAAAAATTACATTTTTGAATAAAGTTATTTATGTAATCAGTAAGTATTTTTCACATAAGTAAGAAAGCATTAAGTCAGTAAGTGAACAAGTAATTGTGTTTTTAAGGTAGAACTGTTGGTAAAGACTTGCACGTAAAGCCTTCAAAGATAGTTGCTGGACAAGAACCTGAAAAAACAAATGAGCTATTGCAATGCTTGGCAGAAGCTTTAGATAAAAAACTTACATCAAAAGATGCTGTCAGAAAATCTCGAGAAACCACTGACGACAAGAAAAATATTTCTAAAGGGAAAGAAATATCTAAGTCAAAAGAAAATACAAAAATCGAGAAACGTGGTACTTCATCTAATAAGCGGATTAAATTAAAAGAAAATAATATCAAACAAAAACCAGACTCATCCAAAAATATTTCACAACAAATCTTAACCGACGCTACAGATGTCAAGGGAAAAAAACATAAAGTTTTGCATGAAAATATCAAAGAGAAAATCAATGAAGAAGTTCCACGCAATGATAATAATTATAATATTAATCCTCTTAAAGAAACTCTGCCTTTAGCCGGAGATCGACAAAATGATAATATAAATACAATCAGTGATAAAAATAGCAACAATGATGGGCAAGAAAACGTTAATAGTGAATGCATAGAATTTCCAGAATCTGATACTTCTATATATCCTAAGACCAATAAAGAAATTGAATCAGTAGAGCATGGCGTTAATAGTACTAATTATGACCCTGTCAATCCTGAAAAAATTGAAGTTGAGAAAATATCAGATCGAAGTTTTAATGAAAATTCAAAAACGGCAGATTATTCTGATACAAAATCCCAAGGGGAACCTGAAAAATATAAAAATGTGGAAATTTCTAATGCCAGTATAGAAAATTATATAACCAGTAATAGACCTTCTAGTGTCAGACCTTCGTCGTCCCGTCCAGGTGCACCTAAAGTGCGAGATAAACAAGATTACAGTACTCTACCCGATGCTGAAAACATTGCGATTGGTAAAGTTAATATTATTTCAGAAAATGTGCTGCTGGAAGAGGTAGATATAAAAGTGTTATGTTTACTCTGCTGATTTTCTACACCTTTATTATTTAATTGTCTAAGCTATGAATTTATTATAGGACGAAGAATCTACATTGGTTATAGAAAATTATACTGATGATATTAAATCTCACCACACGCATGACTTAGACCAACACGGTCATTTGGTTCAACAAATTTTAGATTCACAAAAAGAATTTACCCAAGTTAATAAAACTGAAATTGTAAGTTTTGGTCTATTGATAACTTTGTTTGCATTTTTTTACTTATATCTACTTAATACTTGTTACATTTTTACCGTACAGGACTGGACAAGTGGATTACAGAAAACTAGAGACGATTTCAGTAGAGAGATAGAACAAATACGGTTTAATGTTCAAGCACTGTCTCGTGTCGCAAATCCATTGGGGAAAATTCTTGATCATATTCAAGAAGACGTTGAAGTCATGCGCCAAGAATTATCTCAGTGGTTGCAGATTTATAACGAAACATCAAAAAAGTTGTTAAAACAGAAAGCGTTAGTATTTTTATACATTCATATTTTAATGTTTTTGGATTAATAGGCTCTTACAGGGGGATATAATTTCACCACATTTTTCAGATTAAATGAGGAGATAATTGCGCCACTGCGCGTAAAGACAACACAGCTGGAAATGGACATTTCAGAAAAATATAAAAAAATTGACAATATGAAAATAATTGTTTATAAAAATAATACAAAAATTGACAAGTTACTAGCGAATGAGCATATTAAATAAAGTAGTGAAATAATTAAATAAAAATAGTAGCATTATTATAGCTATTGAAATTGTTGATATATATATTATATACACTTAATACTTGAGGTACACTTTAGGCAAATATGATACCACACCAAATCGTCATTTATTTTAGGGTTATTTCATAAATCACTATTTTAATAGTAAATAACATCTAATGTAAGTTTATTTTTTTTATAAATGTTAATTTTTGTATTGTTAAAGAAACCCAATCTCGTTTTTTAATAAGAGCTTTAAGAGATTGTTTTCAGTATCTTATGATAAAATATATTAAATACTTAATTATTATTATGTCGAGATAACTTATATATTCGTATGAAATAGGTGCTTGCAAAAGTGCTAAATTTCATGCTTGATTAACACGCAACTCTGCAAACGCCTGTATTCCGTATGCATATGTCACCGTAAAATTGTAAACACCGTTAGATCAATATACGTATACATCAATCAATTTACATTCGACAACAAACGAATTAACAAACAAATATGGTGGCGCGGGGCATATTCCGTTCAACCAATCAGCGCGCGAGGTGCGATCCGTTTCACAATTTGACGGTTTCACTTCGATAGATTACAATCTACCGAATAATAATACGTAATTGTAAGTAGTGCGTTAAGGTTCACAATCTTTCGACAGTTCACAATCTCGCGAGATAGATTACAATCTAACGGTGTTTACAATTTTACGGTGACACATACAAATTAACTATGGTATATTTCGGCAATACATTGCGCAGACGTGATAATAACTTGGAGAAACTGCTCGTGGTAGGTGACACAGAATGCAAAAGATCACGTGGCCGTTTACTTACCACATAGACCTATCAGGAGAAAGACTCATCGTATTCAAAACTGTACACTGTAATAAGAGAGGCGCTGGACAGACAAACAGGTAGTTTGCTCCTGATGTTTCCTTGCTGTTCACGATGCTCAGACATGAGCTACCGACTTAAGAGAGAGAGAAGAGAGTTAATTTGAATCTGTGTGATATTCTGAATACCCTTTAAATCAGCAAAAACGCATTACCAGCCACCGAAGAAATGTGATATGACGTCGAAGAAACCGATTCCGAGATTCCTATTCCGAAACTATACTTTTCTCTTATAGATGCATAATCGAAAATAAATTTTGTGGTGCTCACTTTATTAGATTTTTGTAATGTTGTACACAATACACAATTCGAAAGTCTCTCGTAAAGGTTCGTTAGAACTTCTTCCTCTTCGGTACTCGACGACATGACTGTATACTATATATATGTACATTGATGTATCTATTTTACTGCAGTTTACCTTTTATATAAATGTTATATCAAATTTAAGTGGTGGGTAATTTCTCTCATAAAAAATAGGATTTCTTAACAAAAAGAGCTACGATTATTTCTGGTTCTTCTCTGACGAATCTTGAAAATGCCTGTAAGAGGGTAGCCCTTATACGTTAATTAACTATGAATTTTTTTTAGATATATTATGGTAATAGTTTCTATGAAACTTTTTGCCATCAGATTGTAGTTTTTGTGCGTTTTCCAATTACAGCACTAGAGCGCATTTTGCGGCATAATGCTCAACGTCGAGTGTTCCAACTACAGCAACGCTTCGCACAATGGAAAATTCTTGATCATATTCAAGAAGACGTTGAAGTCATGCGCCAAGAATTATCTCAGTGGTTGCAGATTTATAACGAAACATCAAAAAAGTTGTTAAAACAGAAAGCGTTAGTATTTTTATACATTCATATTTTAATGTTTTTGGATTAATAGGCTCTTACAGGGGGATATAATTTCACCACATTTTTCAGATTAAATGAGGAGATAATTGCGCCACTGCGCGTAAAGACAACACAGCTGGAAATGGACATTTCAGAAAAATATAAAAAAATTGACAATATGAAAATAATTGTTTATAAAAATAATACAAAAATTGACAAGTTACTAGCGAATGAGCATATTAAATAAAGTAGTGAAATAATTAAATAAAAATAGTAGCATTATTATAGCTATTGAAATTGTTGATATATATATTATATACACTTAATACTTGAGGTACACTTTAGGCAAATATGATACCACACCAAATCGTCATTTATTTTAGGGTTATTTCATAAATCACTATTTTAATAGTAAATAACATCTAATGTAAGTTTATTTTTTTTATAAATGTTAATTTTTGTATTGTTAAAGAAACCCAATCTCGTTTTTTAATAAGAGCTTTAAGAGATTGTTTTCAGTATCTTATGATAAAATATATTAAATACTTAATTATTATTATGTCGAGATAACTTATATATTCGTATGAAATAGGTGCTTGCAAAAGTGCTAAATTTCATGCTTGATTAACACGCAACTCCGCAAACGCCTGTATTCCGTATGCATATGTCACCGTAAAATTGTAAACACCGTTAGATCAATATACGTATACATCAATCAATTTACATTCGACAACAAACGAATTAACAAACAAATATGGTGGCGCGGGGCATATTCCGTTCAACCAATCAGCGCGCGAGGTGCGATCCGTTTCACAATTTGACGGTTTCACTTCGATAGATTACAATCTACCGAATAATAATACGTAATTGTAAGTAGTGCGTTAAGGTTCACAATCTTTCGACAGTTCACAATCTCGCGAGATAGATTACAATCTAACGGTGTTTACAATTTTACGGTGACACATACAAATTAACTATGGTATATTTCGGCAATACATTGCGCAGACGTGATAATAACTTGGAGAAACTGCTCGTGGTAGGTGACACAGAATGCAAAAGATCACGTGGCCGTTTACTTACCACATAGACCTATCAGGAGAAAGACTCATCGTATTCAAAACTGTACACTGTAATAAGAGAGGCGCTGGACAGACAAACAGGTAGTTTGCTCCTGATGTTTCCTTGCTGTTCACGATGCTCAGACATGAGCTACCGACTTAAGAGAGAGAGAAGAGAGTTAATTTGAATCTGTGTGATATTCTGAATACCCTTTAAATCAGCAAAAACGCATTACCAGCCACCGAAGAAATGTGATATGACGTCGAAGAAACCGATTCCGAGATTCCTATTCCGAAACTATACTTTTCTCTTATAGATGCATAATCGAAAATAAATTTTGTGGTGCTCACTTTATTAGATTTTTGTAATGTTGTACACAATACACAATTCGAAAGTCTCTCGTAAAGGTTCGTTAGAACTTCTTCCTCTTCGGTACTCGACGACATGACTGTATACTATATATATGTACATTGATGTATCTATTTTACTGCAGTTTACCTTTTATATAAATGTTATATCAAATTTAAGTGGTGGGTAATTTCTCTCATAAAAAATAGGATTTCTTAACAAAAAGAGCTACGATTATTTCTGGTTCTTCTCTGACGAATCTTGAAAATGCCTGTAAGAGGGTAGCCCTTATACGTTAATTAACTATGAATTTTTTTTTAGATATATTATGGTAATAGTTTCTATGAAACTTTTTGCCATCAGATTGTAGTTTTTGTGCGTTTTCCAATTACAGCACTAGAGCGCATTTTGCGGCATAATGCTCAACGTCGAGTGTTCCAACTACAGCAACGCTTCGCACAATTGAGCACTCTCAAAACGAATGCTCTCGCGAGCTTTTCTCAAACAATACCAACGCAGTGACAGAAAATTGACCAGTATTTTTCTTTAAGTTGGCATTTATCGAAATTTTCGTTAGTAAATATTATTTATTGTTGAAAAATTTGTAAGGCTTTCGTTTCGTCGTAGATTTTGAAAATAATTAAAGTTATTTCAAACTGCTAAACAAAATAAATATTAGTATGGATGAAGGTATAAATAGTTACTTTTTTTATATTCCACATTTAAAATATGAATACAATTTTATTTTAAAATTCGGATCTGTAAACAAATTTACTTTACAGGATTATACTTTAGAAAAAATTGCAATGGTTTTGAAAAAGTATATAATTTTTTTAGAAATCATTAAAAAATATTACTCAAAACGTAAATGATGTAAACTTCTTACTAAATATTTTACTGTTAATTTAGCTTGTTAAAACCTTATATTCTTTAAAGGTTTTCTCTTATTTCAGTAAAAAAATGTTAATGAAATAATTTGATTATTAAATTAAGCGTAACAAGTTTTCAACCAATTATTATTGTTTACCACATTATTTATACATTAATGAGGTTGCTAACTCTATTCAGACCATTTTTTTGTCAAAACTGACTTAGCGCACTCTGCTGATGCATTTGAAAACTAATTCACGTTCCAATTAAGCTTCAGCATTATGCGGCACTGAGTCGCAAAATGCTCTGTAATTGGAAAACGCACTTTATTACATATTATATGCTTAGCTATGCACCGTGTGTATTAAAATTGTGGTCTGTGTGGTGTTGTTGTTGGTTTTTACTCTAGTTCGAAGTCTGAACTCTCTAGTCTCTACTGAGTACTGACTAGTGAGTGACTACTCAGTACTCCTTCATTTGTGCTGTTGTTTTTAATTACTGCTTTGCTATCAACTTATCAAGTATCATTCATATATTATTTAAAGACGTTAATGTCCACACTTTTTTGATATGTGATAAATTTCTTGCATTATTATGATTTAACCCTGATTCTACTTCGTAAGTTAATGTGATATAATAAATATTGAAATAGCATTTATCAGTAAAAATAAAAAAAACTATGGGTAGCTTAGATAAAGGTGTTTTGACGGGATTTATATGCAGATTGTGTTCAGAAATGCATCGTGTAGTGCTTCATATATATGGAGAGGAAGGCATACGATTATGCATTTCCGAAAAAATTAATCGATATCTGTCAATAAACGTTAGTAGAATTTTATATAATTTTTTTTTTTAAATATGTTAATAAGTTTGTGACTAATTGTTTTAATTTTAGGTATCTCGTTCAGATCCTTTACCTAAAACAATATGCAAGAATTGCTTGGAACGTTTAGAGAACCAACATAGACTTGTCATGCGTATTGAACAAGCAGCAAATATGCTTAAAGGCCAGAGAAGGGCCAGAGTTAGCCGAGGCTGCTATGTGAGTGTATGTGATGAGTCAAATGACCCCTCTCAATCTCCACCTTCAGAGTAGGTCCTAATATCTCTTATACTATCAGACTTTTATATTTTATTCTAGACAGGAATGTAGATGATAAAGAACTTTAAATTATTTAAAAAAAAAAGTTTTGTTTCATAGTGTATTGGATCTTTTTCTAAAACATGACATTGTAAAAAATTACTAATGATTATTTCATTTAATGACATGTTATTGAATCCTGTTATTATTAAGTTATGTGTTTGTTACAAAGGTTTTATGTATTAGAAACGAAGTTCAAAAAATTTCTTTTAATAACTAGGTAATATGAAGTAGGCAATAAAATGGCTTTTAAATGTTACACTGAATAAGTATGTAAAAATAATTATATCCCATGAACCATAACTGAGAATTTGTTAAGGATTTTACAACCCTTTACTATAATAACAATACTAATAACATTACAGAAGAGAACTATTACATAGAGATACAATAATTTTTTGTTGTTGGCGTAGTATGTTATTTTCCACAAAAAGTATATAGCAGTCCTCTAAAACGTTTAAAAAGGCACCAGGATGGTTAAACTTTAAGATACTAAAACTGAGTGTGGAAAGTTAAAAGTAGGACTAATAATGATCAAAAATCAAGGATTATGCTATAAAACATTCTGTAAACAGTGAATAACAAGAAAAATGCTGGTTGGTAATATCAAAATTATTAGTAAACAAAGCTGGAGGAGGCCAATACCCAAGATGGGTTTAGAACCATATACTAAATACCTAACTTCATGCTGAACTTATTCATATATTTATGTGTACATTGTTGTTTATATAACTTTTTAATTCCAATCCATTTGTAAATATCTGTTTTTCTTATAAGGTTGGAAATGTTAATTTAAATGTTCATTTATTTTTAAAACTATGAAATTAAACCATTTTAATCTGTATGCATTACATACTTGTCAATATTTATTGAAAGCCAGAGTTTAGTATAGGTTAAATTAATCATAGATATAAGCTATTTAGTGCGGATATTAAGTATTAGGTATAAATATGATTTTACAATAATTAGGATATTCATATGCACAAATAGAATAAAAACTACAAAATATATTTAATTTTTGTCTTTAATAATTAAAAATTGGATAACTCATCCAATAATGTTTTACATTTATCTCTTAGTATTTTAATTGATTCAGTAAAGATTACATGAGGTGCCATTGCTCCAACAGACTCGACATTGACTGAAAAGAAAATATGGTAGGGAAATTAAGTTACAATTACTTTGAAATATTGAAGTATTCCATTCAAGTGTGATTAATATAACACAATTGTGACTACCAATTTTTGAAGCTTTTCATTTTCTAACTAAAAATTTGCTTAAAAAAGCCAATAGAATAGCTCAAGTTTAATACTTACATATGAAATGATCCCTAATTCTGCTTAATATTACAGAATTTTTAATTGAATCATATCTGTATACATTTCTACTACAACTATCATATCGAGCATCCTTTACATATGCACAACCATTAGAATCAATTCCTATTACTCCAGGTGAAAAACAACTTTGTAGTAGTGTTGCATCACCACCATTTACCTCCTGTGTTAAGGTTATTTCGGGAAGCAGTCTGTAAGTTGCTGTAGCTAAAAAAAAAGTTCAAGTCAATTAACTGAATTTTAACATTTTCATAACTTAATTATGATTTCTGTTTTTAAATTACATTAATTAAATGGATTTACCATTTAACAGATCTATCAAATTAGCAGGGATTTAAATCAACAAACAAAATTGGTAAAAAATAAAATAGAAATAATAACTTATTCCTATCATCCAACAACTAAAAGTTATTGAAATCACTGAAAAATATTAACAATATGGGAAATAACTAGTAGTAAACAATACAGGAATACTACAAATTATGTGAGTGTTTGCATATCTTGCTGAAGCCAAGTACAAATTAGTAAAATAAATGCAACTATGATGGTGTGCTATGTAAAATAAAGTCAGTCTTGTCAGTCCATTCATAGAAGGTTCATGATTGGAGAAAATTAATGAAATTACTAACCAACTGGAGAGAACTTAGCATGATCCCTTCCAATCCCCTTAATTGCTACAAGATGAAGATCTAACTCATGGCCTGGTCTCATTTTTGATATCAATATATCCCCATGTACTGGCCCAACATCATTGTCTTTGTGAACAGAACCTTGATTTCCTATAGAAAGCCATTTCATTTGTGAAGAATATACTAAAACAAAAAAAAAATACTTCGTTGATATATACTGATGTAATTTGTCCATCAAATGGTATAAAGCTTAAGGTAAATTATACCACTATGGTTTTCATATAAATCTTCGGGCCTGAATGAGTCTTTTGTTTGTGTCTTATTGAGAGTGCATTTTACTTTCAATGAAAACTCTAATGTATCAAACTCAGTCCCCTCAGTTGCACCTAAAATAGAAGCAAAAATATTAAATATTTAACCTTGTGTGAATATACATTCATCAATATTAAAACAACAACTAACCTACAGGACGATATTCAAATAGTCTTGGGTCAGCTTTTAGAGGTATTAAGCCTAATCTATGGGCTAATATTTCATCTTGAATTATTGATGTATTATTTTTAATCATCACTTTTTCTATAGCCATACTAGGTACTTCACTTAGCATAATTCTACGGAAAGCATTTGCAAATGCTGGCTGTATACCAATTAAATCAAATTCCATTTCCAGATTATCCATTTTTATAATGACAATACGAAACCTTTCTTTAAACTTACTAAAGTCCCATTTATCATCAGCTAATCCGTAATCTTCAGCAGCGTTCTGCAAAGCAATATTTTCAAATAGTTGTTTAAGGATATAAATATATAAAATTATTCGAAAAAAAAATTGATAAAAATATAAGATGGCTCTGTAACATTTATCTTCTATCGCAGCACTTATTTAGTTTTATTTAAGTTATATCAGAGATGAGATAAGAGCCAATGCTAGCAAATTTTTAAAAACTTCAATATTATTAATGAACATAATATAACCTAACCTTAACACGAAATTCTTCTAGGAAAACCCGGGGCTTTTCATCTAACTTTGGCATTTTCAACGTCTATAAAATTATTTTATTTAGGATAGATTTTAACTAGAGAGACACACAAAAACTTTAATAAGGTCAGAAACTCAAGACAACATTCCTAAATCCTAATTCATGTGGAAATTGGAAAACATTGATAAAAAAATTCTAAACATTTAGTTGTTTTTTTAATATTCTTTTACTATCCAGCCACGCTAAAGTTTTTCGACTATACCAAGAGTATATGGAACTTGAGCATGTTCTGTGCCCTGTGGTACCGTCTTGTCGCTCGACATAAGATACAAATTGTCACATTGCCACAATATATGGAATACTGACTGAGCTCATATCTTCAGTCTTCACTTTACATTGGTCATTGTATACTCTGATTCTTAATTCCGTAGAATTCTGACAGCTATCATTTTTTGACATGTCAGAGATGACATACCTTTTGGCCAGGCACATTTTTCAATTTCAATACGAGTTTGAACATCTGAGTCTATTCATACATTTTATTTTTTAGTGAATGTATCTATTTTATTAAGTGCTGTGGTCTACATTAAAAGTGGTTTTACGGCGAGTGATAATTACGTCCCTTTTCATCACAAACAGTAAAAAAAACGCAAAAGTAAAGATAAAATTTTAGTTTTTGGAGTTTACTCCTTAAGAAACGATTTGAGTTATAAGCCCCGGTACGGAAATTTTAAGACGAGTAAAATCAAGTGTAACACGAAAAGTTGATGCGTTATGTGTAACACGAAAAGTTGAGGCGTTATGTAGAAAGAGACAAACATATATATCTGTAGGATTGAACGTGTAAAGAATGAGATGGAATACATTACACAGACTTTTCTATTTTGAATTCACGTTTTGACAGACACGTTACAACATTGTCAGTGTTGACAGGTGTAAAAAATAAAAGTAGATTGTCTAGCGTGCCATAGAGTTTTGTCAATAGTAATGGTCAGTGAAATTAAAACTAAAAAGATTGTTCATTCTTATTCTTCTCTTACTATAAAGGTAACTTTGGTCACAGAAAGAAAATCCTATTTGGGCATAGATGATGTAGGTACGTTTTATTACTACTACAAACATTTATATTATAAAAACATATATTCTTACCACCTTTAGTATGAAAATATGGTCGACAGCCACAGAACATTATCGCCATTTTATCGTTCGTAAGGAGTAAACTCCAATCGTGCGTCGTAGCTGACACACACACACTTTTTTAAAAGGTTTACGAAACCTGGAATTAGTAGACAGTGATGTGTGAGTAGCTAAAGAATAAAATAAAGTAATTAAAGTTAATTCGATATATTGTTCGTGATATTGAAATATTTGTTATTTCTGTATTAGGTCACTTGACTAAGTAAATATTTAGATTTACCTTTTTGTAGATAGAACTTGAAAAATATGTCGCATTTTATTTTTTATTGCCTTCAAATGGGTCTTATTTGTTCCTTTTTCGGTGGAGAACTTTTTTAGTAGCAACACTTATGAAATGTCAGAATTCTACGGAATTAAAAATCCGAGTACCTATAGGATTTTACATGGTTTCTTGTTTACGTTTTGGAAATGCATATTTTGCCTAAATAAATAATATTGTCATTGTGTGCTGGTTTAAAATACACACATTTACCTTATTCTTTCTTTTCTTGCGAATTAATGAGTATTACGTAACTAGCTGTTGACCGCCCGCAATTGCTCATGCATCATTAATGTACGTACACCATTATTATGTTGCGGAGGAATAATATAAAAATATCGGGTGGATGTCGAGGGGAATTTTATTCAAAATTAGATTCATACGATGAATAGCGTATGTTTTGGATAATTGGATTAAATAAAAATAAAGCATTATTTTATAACAAATTTGATTACCAAAAGGGCTTATAGTAGTATTGTCTTTGATTTACATAACCTTTACACATTTAAAGAAAAAACTGTTTGACCGGGATTGAAGTTATGTATTATTATAAATTTACAACTATTTAACATAATTTTAAATTTATCCGACGTTTCGCGTGCTTTACAGCGTGAGTGGTCACGGTGACCACGCACGCTGACGAGGGCTTATAGTGTCAAATCAACTTTAAAGATAAAGGTATGCTATCGCGGACATTTTTACAGACTTAAAAGGAACAATTCCATCGGAGTCATATTATCCACATAGTCAACTTCCGTAACTAACCGTTTCTCGCGCACGAAACGGAGTTTTCACCCGTTTTTGCAAAATTCCATTTTTACATTTGCTGCGCACCACCACTATGTGAAACCAGCTGCCCCCTGAAGTATTTTCTGGGTCCTTCAAGAAAAGAGCGTACCGATTCTTAAAAGGTCAGCAACGCGCTTGCGAGCCTTCTGACAATGTGAGTGTCCATGGGCGGCGGTATCACTTAACATCAGGTGATCCTCCTGCACGTTTGCCTCCTATTACATAAAAAATAAAAAAATTACCATTGCTGTGATCAATTCGATTTAGTAGTTCCGGAGCTGAGGGCGTTCAACCATACAACATTTTCAGCTTTATAAGTGTAAATTTACAATATGCATTGGTTATTACATCACAAAATAATATGGGTTTATATTCATCACGAATATAGCAATTAGCATAATATATTCGTGAAATGTATGCTTATCTATAAACTACATACCTAATTGATCTTACTAAACTAGTTCTTTACACAAATGGGAAGGTGGCGAATTGACACCTACGATGAGCCATACCCTGATTTCCTCTTTTGCTAACTATTTTCATAATTAGATTTTTATTAGATGATATGAAACGATTTAACAAATCAGGGTGTTAATGTCTATTAGGTAACACAGTATAAACTACCGCAACTTATTTGTAAGCACTAAAAATAAAATGGTTCAATTGACGCTATACTTTGTAATAGTTTAATACCTATTACTTTTCAACAAGTGATTTAAATTATATTTAGGTGTATAATTCCTTCATAAATCTCATAATTCGAGAGATGCGTGTATGTAACCTAACATTATTTAAATTACATTTAAATATTTTAGTTAATTACTAGTGGACCCCACAGACGTTGTCCTGCATGATATTTAAAGCGATTAGGATATTAAGCAAAGTATGAAACTACCGACTGCAGTGCCATCTGCCGGGCTGATTTGTGAATCTAAACCATTCCCAGATCCCCTTGAACACACACAAAAAATTTCATCAAAATCGGTCCAGTCGTTTAGGAGGAGTTCAGTCACATACACACGCACACAAGAAATATATATATTAAGATTAGAAGCGCAAACCAAATGTTAGCAATCATCGCACACTTGAAGAATTTCATTTAACATACATTTGAACATCAACATCACCAACAACCACCACCGAACTTAACTCGTGTATAGTAAATAAAGTGGCCACCAACGTCATTGGTTACTTTATTGTTTTCGCGGATCTTTTGTTTAGATGTAAGTACTATAATTTTAAGGAAACAGTTTCGTTTACTTCTTCGTTTTATTTTCTTTGTTCTTGACTACCGAGCGTTTCACTTCTCTCTCACCGAGCACACTCTACAGCAGAAATAAACTTAAGTTCCACTTAAGATCACCTACGTTATCTTGTGAATAATAAATATTATTTATTTATTATTTGAGCTCTTTTCCAAATCCATTAAACTCAATTCTTTAATTCGTAATGACACCTAATAATCGATGGACTAAATTATATTAAATAGGACAGTCACACAAGTAATTATAATATAACTTTAATAATAAATGTAATTATAAATATATACACATTTAAAAGTGTATAAAGCCTAAATAATTTATAACGCTCTCCTTTTAAAGCGAAGGTCGCTACTATTAAAATGGCCTTAAAAGTTTTAATAACGATACAAAAACTACACATTTAACATTAACTTATTAAACAACACAATTACTTCAGCGGACTATTAAGTTAACTACTTGGTGTTAAATACGCCAACATTTATATTAAGAGCTTAGGATAATGTCCTAAATAAATAAAAAAATTGCTCTGGCAGAAATACTGATCCGCGCCTTATAAAATAATCTCTCTCTTTACTTTGTTTAAATGGTTGGATCGTATTTATTAAAAAGTTGCATTGGATCTTAGGAAATCCATCCGTATGCTATAGGTATAGCTTATGACCAAGCTTCGAGCGCGTAGTGTAAATACCTCACTTGGTTCTATAAAGAGGGCGAGTACTTTGTGGCAATAAGTGCAGCGAAAGTGTTTGTCCGCCAAATGATAATCTGTATCAACAGTCCAAGTACTTATGCAACGCTTTCGGCACCATTCGCCAGTCTTCGTCTGTCGGTAAAGTTGATGGTAATGCGTTCTAGTGCTAGTGTTCAAAATGATTATTAAGGCTGTATCAGTTTTTTTATTGCTCGGATGTATCGAAACGGGTAAGTTTATGTAACAGGTAGCTGAATTTATTTCTCTAAAAACTTGGATTACTCAATCGTACTAAATTAGGCATTGATATTTTAAACATAAATACGTAGACTTTATGGGTTGCCTTTTAAATCTAATTTATTGCAAATATCTGTGAGTCTACCATAGATGCAAGTTATCATTAGGGTAGGTGCTGCAATATTGCCTGTACATTCAGTGGCGTAACTATACCATCTGGGGCCCGTGGCAAATTCTTTTGATGGCGCCCTATCAGTAAAAATCGTCACGTTGAACTCAGTTTAATTTTAATAAACTTCTAAATTTTCAGCGTACTCAATTACACGTTGTATATGTCCCACTAATGGCCATAGGCCTCCTCTCTTAGGCGAGAGGGAATGGTCGGTAGTCCTCACGCCAGCCCAATGCGTATTGGAGACTTCACATCCATAGAACATAATATCTCTTGAGCAGGGACCCTCTTAGGTCAGGGGCCAGTGGCATTATCTCAGCCCTGCCACCCTATTGTTACGCCACTGTGTACATTTCAGAATTAATCCGACAGAACTAAATTTGTTAAGCACAGTTACAAAATAATTTAATTAATAAACTATTTCATTACTGTTTTACTACAATGAACTTATATCGTTTACATAGGTATGCATACATCCCTCTTACATATACTTCTTCTTAAAATTCTTAGACGAGCCAACTATTTTTGCTTAGATTATTTCAAATTTCATTTTTAGTTTAGAAGCTTAGTCTAAAAATTAATATCACCCTAGAAAATATATTATTTTTCTTTTCCATTATTCTCCTCCAAATAAAACGCCTACCTTTACTACTATTATTTCATCGGTAAGAGAGCAGTGTTGGCCTAGTGGCTTCAGCGTGCGACTCTCATCCTCAGGTCGTAGGTTCGATTCCCGGCTGTGCACTACTGAAGTTTGTGTATGTGCGCATTTAACATTCGCACTAACGGTGAAGAAAAACATCGTGAGGAAACCGGCTGGCCTTAGACCGAAACAGTCGAAGACGTGTGTCATTCACAGGAGGCTGATCACCTACTTGCCTATTAAATTAACAAAATGATCATGAAACAGATACAGAAATCTGAGGATCAGACCTAAAAAGGTTGTACCGTTACTGGTTTTATCTCATGTGGTAAGACTCAAAGAAACCAGTAGGTAATAGGTATGTCAAAATGCAATACTTACGTTTTTGACATAGATATCTAAGTCTCGATTCTGTATGTTACTAATTACCATTAGATTTTCAAGTTTGTTTTTTTTATTTTTTATGATTGGACAATTCACACCAATTGACCTAGTCCCATGCTAAGCTGGTGAAACTTGTGTTATGGGTACTAGGCAACGGATATACATACATATTATAGATAGATAGACATATAAATACATATTTAAACACCCAAGACCTAAGCGCAACACCAAATGCTCATCACATCGATGTTTGTCTCAGCCGGGGATCGAACCCGGGACCCATGGATTCGCAGTCAGGGGTACTAACCACTAGACCAATGAGCCGTCTTACAGTTACCGTCGGGTTTTTATTAGTGTCCCATTTGTTAAGGTAAGGTAAATATTTAAAAAACTTAATTACAGTTAAAGATGATCAATTTGATAATTTAAACATATTAACGAACGTATTATTATTATTTGATTGTTATGATTACTAATAAATTTATTAACGAACACCAAAACCAACCCGTACCACAAAATTTTACATTAAAAGTTCTGCGCATTCTTATTACATCATAATTATTTAAGTAGGAAATAAAGTAACTTTCCATTTCATTTATATGTTTTCCTGTTACCTACCGGTGTCTTTGGAGTCGAGAGCCAGTTACGTATACGCAACAACTTATTACCTTGTATGGAATGGCGACATTTTTTGTTCCTGAAATATCTGGGTTATCATGTTACATAAAGCTCTTTCAAGTGCAAGGGTTTGCGAAATACAACACGTAAAAGTTCAAAACATTATGTAATTGTAACGTTACATTTACATCATACATAATTAAAGATTAAGATTCCGTTTAAGACGATGCATAAATAATATTGCGTCTTTGTTGCAACGTCCAAACAGATTGGTTCTGCGGTTGCTGGCAATTTCTTCATTATAGACAATCGCGTAGATTTTAATACTGAATCCCCAGTGGATACTCCGTGGAAAATCACTTTTAATTTTTGGGTAAAAACAAAACTATCGAGCTTTACAATTATAAAATGATTTGAACAGAAAAAGATTATTCAAATTTGTATGAAAGTCTACTCCGTAATCCAATGAAATCGGCTGGAAAAGCGAGCCGCTGGGCGAGGTTTACAATCTGGCAACGACGGAGTAGGGTCAGGTACCTGCGAGTGGCAGGGACAGGACTCACGCGGTGCTGGCGGTAAGCTTTTACTATCGTGAACACGGGCACGACAAAAGTATCCGAAGTCAGGTCTCTGCAAACCCAACTTTTCCTGCATGCATCTGTCAAACACCGCCTGTGTCTTTCGACAATTAGCGAACGAATAGTCCCCGGAGCTTTTATCGATACAATGAGCATATTGATTGAACTCATGTTGACATTTACTTTTGACTTTTTTGAAAAATTGCATAGTGCAAGAGGTCACTTTTTTGCCAAGGTCCAAACAAGCCCTGGGGTCTTGGGATTCGTACCGGCACAGCATAAATTCGTTGTTGATGCCTTCACAGTCCTTGCCGAGGTAGGGTCCGGCAGACATAAGCGTAGCCGTTGATAAATCAACTTCTTGAACGTTTAATGCTGTAAATTCGGGAAGATTAACATCTTTTGTTATAACCATACTTTATATTTGTTCTAATTACTATAATATGTAACAAAACAAATATGGTTTGGATCACTTTGACTTTAATAATATATCAACATTAGACAGCAAAACATATTGGATCTCCTTTGCTAAAAGTAGCATACTTATCTGTGGCGCCAACTATGTCTATAAAGATTGATTTATTTAAATACATATAGTACAAAAGTCGGTTTGAAATGTATATGTAAATATTGGAAATAAAGTAATATATTATAACGAATATAACAGTACTTATCCGGAGCTGGATATATTCGGTGGTGGGCTGATCAATTTTAAAGAAAGCATTGTTAAGTGCCTATCTCATACCTCCAGTATTAACATACGGCTGCCAAACTTGGGCACTCACTAAAATGCAAACTAGGCAACTGAAGACATGCCAGTCGGCGATGGAAAGAAGCATGCTAAATATTAGGAAGTCCGATAGAATTAACAATAAAATCATAAGAAACCACACGGAGATTGAAGACGTCACAACGAGGATACGAAGATTGAAATGGAAATGGGCTGGTCATATAATAAGAGGTATAGAAAAGTGGAACAAAAAGATCATTATATACATTGGTACGAAAAGGTATTGGTAAGAAAACGAGCTAGACAGATTCGAAAGTGGGAAGACAAAATAAAATCCGTAACTGGGATCCGTATCCGTAATATGGACAAGGAAAGCTCAGAACAGAGCAGAGAGGAAAGAAATAGAGGAGACCTCTGCCAAAGTTGGGCAAACAGATGGGTTGTCGGTGTGACCGACTCACTAGTGATAATAGTTTAAGTGAACATGGAGTCTTCGTCGTCGCCGGTTTTTATTTTTTTGAGATAGGTAGTACAAAGCAGCAATAACTAATACACGCCGCATTTTGGTCTTCGTTTGTACAGTAAGGCGGTCAGTACGATACTGAAACGAACAACGCTGAGCCTCAGCGCTGATGAACTACGCGCTGATCTATGAGCGCTGACGGTGAGCGTGAGACTAAATTCAGCCTAAAGTTGAAGTTTTGGTGTAGTCCCTATATTAAAGATTGTTATTTGTGCCTACAATGAATTTCCCAATAAGAATTATCGACTTGGTTACTTTTACCAGTTTATGTTTAATTTCAAATCGTACATATATTCGTAATTTGCGTCGTGAACGGCGAAGCGAAATGAAAACCAAATATATGTTGTTTGGAATATACTAGTATATAATATGAAATACACTGTATTTAAATATAAGCTTAATTTTTTATACTACGCAAGCGGCTTCGAGTTTGAAAACAATTGATTTTAACTTTCAGGTTATTCACAGTCGCTGCAGTGTCCAAAGGTGCGAATAAGCAGCGGCTGGTTAGACCTGTTTCCTCTTCCCTGCAAGAAAAACACAGAATGCAGTAGCGTTATGGGAAAGCAGCACTTATGTTGTAAAGGATTTTGTTCGAAAGGGGAAAACAGGCAGACAGCAGATTTCACACGGTAACTTTAAAATAAGTTGATTACGTTAAACGCATGATATCTTTGCGATTCATACGTTCAGACAGAAGCCACTGTACAAAAAACAACTATTTCTGTCACTGTGGTTCACGGTGAGCGTTGATCGTAATAAACACTTCCGTGTTTGATACCTAGCGAAACAAGTATTGTTTCGGATTGGAAAATAAAGGCTGATCATCTAATGGAGCTTATAAATAGAATTCCATTCTTGAGTTTGTTAAAGGAATTATCTATTTAAAATATCAAGTATTTCATCTGTAGTTAGATAATATCTAGATTAGAAGTATATTTCGTACGCCTGCGCTTACTACATGCCTTAAGTAGTATTTAGCTTGTTTAAAATAATAAAGCAAAAGTGAATGGTCAGGGCATTTAGCGTGAACCTGGGTTAAGGCCATTTGACTAGTACATTATTATTTAATACCTAATTAAGTGTAGTTTGAAATCCAGTGTGGCGGGTTGTTATAAGTTTTAAGCTATATTAAAGCTATTCTAGAAACAGCTTATATTATTGAGACAGAGAATTAATTATATTAATAGTTAGGTACAACTTATTTTGCAATGTACCTAATTACAAATTATCAACTACATTTGTATATAAAATGACAAATAACATAAAAGGTCAGAAATTACAACGTAACATTTAAAATTAATAATTAAAAGATTTTATTTAAAAGTTTCAATGCCTTTATAAATAACGGTGGTTTTATAATGACTGTAACAACTTTGTAATACTATTCTATTTATGACATAACGATTCTTGCTAATTGAAAAATCTTCATTTTAGATTTTTTTAAGACAATATAATGTCGCTTGCTTTCGCTTGAATAAAATGTAGTACTTAAAATATTTTAGAAGCATCGAGACAAGCAGTAATGTAGAGCTAATAAGCCCAATCACGAGCACTTCCACAAGCACAACAACCACTCCAACTACCACAACCACCTCAACCACCACAACCACTCCAACCACCACAACCACAAGCACCACTACTACCACAACAACTACAACTCCGAGTACAACCAGTTCAACAACAACCACAACGACGCCGAAGCCCACCACAACTTCTACGGAACCACCGCGGCCTTTCTTGCAAATCTTGCCGATACAGACTACGCCAAAACCTAGTGCCCCACTTAAAAAAGGTGATTGCATAATTTTACCTGCTATGAAAGAAATTTAAGACAGTGTATATGTCGCAGCCAACTAGCTTAATTAGCCATTCAGTTAACAGCCTAGCCGTTTAACTTAACGGCGCCATTTAACTCGCGGCCTGAAAGGTGTTTAGCCAGTTGATCAAACAGCTGGGCAAATGACTTGTCGCAGCCAACCAGCAAGCCACACTGACAGAAAGTGGAATAAAATTTAAATTAACAGTCAACAGGCTAGGCAAGTAATGAAACGTAATCGTCTATCGATCTAAGTCATCTAGCCTAGCTGTTTAATCAACTGGCTAATCATCTTTCAGGCCGCTAGTTAAACGGCTAGGCTGTTAATTGAACGGCTAATTAAGCTAGTAGGTTGCGACATATACATTTCTATTGTATATTTATTATTTTCGTAAATTCTGACGTTCAATAAGCTATATATATGTAATATGTATTACGGACTGATTGACTGAAGACCCTAAGTATGCATTTAGTAATTCGGAAACAATTTGTTCACAGGCAAAACGCAAAAATTCGTCTGCCCCAAATCAGTGCCCAATGTGTTGTTTCCTATTATCTGCGAGAACAACTCTCAGTGTAGATTAACTGGCGCTGACCAGGTTTGCTGTCAAGGCCAGTGTGTGAAAGGCCTCCTTGCCCCACGGCCCACCATCAAGGAACAATCACACCAACGTAATACTGATAATATCTTAATTAATTAATATTCACTTACTGTTTAACATTTATTTTCCGTTGCCGTGTTGTTGTCATGTTTATTATATTAGGTACATACCTAAAGGAATAAAGTTCGCTGTCTTTTATCGCAAGTTTGTATGTAAGTTAATAAGAGTATTTAAATAATGTATATATCAATTAATACATAATAGAAGTAAATATATCGTAATTTAATTGTTATATTTTTGCAGCGATCCTAGGTGTGATTCCACGGGAATGTCCGGCGGCACCACTTGGCGAGTTATTATTTGAGGTGCAATCTTGCAAAACTGACGCCGATTGCTGGCCTCGTGTCTGTTGTCCTGACGGTAGCCGGTCTTACTGCCGTACAGCAAGAGCTCGGCTTGATTTGGTGCCAGTAGCCAACAGAATAGATGCGCGTATGATCTTTAATAACATTATCCATTTATCTAGACATTTTGTTTACTAATATTGAGATTATAACAATGGTCCAGAGTTCGAAACTGAGATAACAAAAATAATTTTATTAAGGTTATTTTGAAACTAATAACTGAAAAAGTTACAGAACGCCATCAATTGGTATGGTCTTTAAGGTCTACCTCATTTTCGTACTTTAATTAAAATTATAACTAAATTTTTGTAAAAATTAGTAACGTTAAACGAAAAGGTTAAAATTAATCCGATTATTGGTCAAGGTTCGTAGAGAAAAAATAATGTAGACAGTAAGGCTAAGTTAACAAATTGTTTAGACGAACCTCTTAAGTCATGGTCATTTTTTAACGCCTAGTAAAAATACTTTCTAGATAATACTTGTCATTGCCAACAAGAACACACAATTTTTGAATTTCACACCAACGTAAATATTGAGTACCTAGCTTTTTATTTACAGATTACAGGCTGTATAGAATAGAGCCTGTGGATCCTAAAAGAGTGATCAGTTTCAATCATATTGAAAAACCTAATATAAAAATGTCAATGAAAAACACTGTACAGGTTTTCGTATTCAATCAAATACATTTATTTCAGCTATCCGTATGTTAGAGTCGTATCTCCAATGTTCTCCGCCGCCAAAATTCGACTCCTTCCCACAGAGTTGCAGCTCCAGTGTTGACTGTTTCCCTAACTTGTGTTGTGCAGAAGGTGGCAAGAAACATTGCCGACCACCACAACGTAGCTTCCTTTCATTAATAGCTGGAGCAGCCCAGGTAAAACTCATAAATTCAAGAGAATACCGAATATAGATTATTTTTTTAAATATTATTTTTCACAGTATTATTAAGAAACCTAATCATATGTATAATTTATCAAGATTGTAATCCAGGACTTGGAGCTAAGTAACTAGTTGTACAGAGATATCAGTAATAAAAAATATGAAAACTGAGATATTAAAATGTTGTACATATTAAAATGCATAAAACATCTCAAAATATTCAATTTCTAAAAAATTATTTTCAGAGATTTGGGTGAAGCTACAGTAAGTCAGTGGACTTAGGATTAAAATTGTGATGTAAATATTTTTATATAATTTATTATTTTTATACTCCTGAAATAACTTGAATAAATAAACATAAATAATATTCTCTAGTTTGTTTTTGAAATTAGTAGTTAATAAGTTTTCAAATCCTATAACTCTACACAAATACTTTAAGTAACAAAACATTTGTGAGGATAGAACACACCATAGTGTGTAAGTACTTATAAATAAAAGATTGAATGGGTTTTTATAAATTTATTTACCTATTCTCCAAACATTTAGTCCAGCTGAAACAATGCAAATTTTAGTTAGGTATATTAATAAGAATTATGGTACAGAAAAGTTTAACCACCAGTTAGTTACATTTCGTTTGTATCATTAAATATTTTGATACATAGAGTTAAGTTAAGAACCATGTTATATTCAATATTAACAGCAAATGTTTGCTTGCACATTGAAGTAATTTATTGTGATGAGACCAGCATGTCCTACACTTAAAAGCCAACGTGTACCAGACACAGAAAACCGATCTCTCGTCTTTGTAGGAAGATGATTGAAGAGATAGATCCAGAAATTCACGCCAAGACCCAGAGACTTGGTTGAGCATCCGAATTAATATTATCACATGAATAAGTTGAATAAAAAATATGTACGTCTACTTTTATTCATAACTAACACTACTATCGTAAGTAACTTATAATTGTAGTAAAAAAGTGAATGTTACTAGAAACAACAGAAAATAACATACCTTCTTGAATCCGATATCATGAGCATATTCTCTGAAACATTGTCTGCAAATGTTTAATCCATATTTACGGATGAGACCATGTTTGTTGGAGCAGGCGCGGCTGAAATGCACAACACGTGTTAAGTATAACCAATTCAGTATTGTGTAAATGGAGTTATATAAATCATGGCGTACATACCATGAGCGAGAACCCTGGCCGTATTTACGGGGGTGGGAGTACCATATATTTGCGTGACCCATTTTAGTTGTCTGCAATTTCTAGCAAGCTAGAACTCAAAACGCGTTTAAAATGGCGAGCTTCACAGCGGAAAGAAAAATTGTCAAAGGGTATAAATATAATTCAATGACTTTGACATCTACAGCACTGTGACATCCGAACGTTGAAATTAGACCACAGAGACAATATACTAGAATTTTAGTTTAGACTGCATGCATGCATGAACTTCCATGTCCTTTAAAAAAGGTAAAAACATTTTGTATTAAAACACTAAACTAACTACAACGTTTAATGTTACTGTCGTTTTGTTGAGATTTCTCATTTCAATGTAGCAATGTTCAATGACATATCTTATATATAAAATTCTCGTGTCACAATGTTAGTTACTTTACTCCTCCGAAACGGCTTGACCGATTTTTATCAAATTTTATATGCATATTCAGTAGGTCTGAAAATCGGCTACTATCTTTTTTTCATTCCCTAAGTTATAAGGGGTGTCTACCCTAAAATTTTTATTTTTTGGACAATTTTTTTGTTTTTATGATACAGCATACAAAAATACATACAACCCCTAATTTTCACCCCTCTATGATCAACCCCTATTTTGTATTATAGTAGATAGATTTTTTTTATTGAACTAAAAAAAATGTTTCCTAGAAATAATATACATGGCAAAACGACGTTTGGCGGGTCAGCTAGTAATATATAAATTAATGTCAAGGCGAGGCATTGTTTTACTAAGGGCGTAGACTGACTATGGTATAGTCCAGGCATCAGCGTACAGCGTGTGAGATAGCGAATCATCGACATATGTCATATTTACAGTTTTAATTCATTGAAGATTGCTTATTATTGACCAAAATATACATTCAAATTAATAATTCTTGAACAAAGTTTCTGAGTCGTGACAAAATAAGCTATTTACCGATGAAAGATGTTTGGTTCTTTACGGTCACTATAGCTTTTACAGCCAATTATGCAACAATTCACCACGACTGACACTTTAAATACACCTCTTATAAGGATAAAGTCTTAAAACATGGGTTTGACTTGGGTTTCACCGATTTATCCGTAAGCGGTGAAAAGTTGTTTACCACCAAGGGCTCGGTGGTAAACAAATAAAACCCGATACGCAATGTCTCTATTTGCGTGAAAAACTGATACTCTGTTTCGCTCGCACTTAAGTATTTCACGTTAATGACTACTAATAACTTCTCTCTTTAGTTATTATTGTTATTTTAGAAGCTCATCTAGTTCTATACTCTATCTACGACTAAGGGCAAGTAAATTTTAGTGACACTGACACTTCATTGTTGACAGTGTAAGTGCTGATTGGCTGACAACAAGTATTTTTTTGGGTTTTTAATGGATTAACCATACAGAATACTTAATACTCTTTTAAAGTAATTCAAGATCATTGACCGCACACTGCTCCGCATAACTGTTTATCTAAAAATTATTTAAAAAATCTTTTACAATGGGTTTCATTGTATTTTCTTTAAAAAGAATATTAAAGTTAATCGTTTATTTTGCTTTTTTTGTAACTTTAGTCCTTATAGTGCCCAATTTGCCGCCTTATACAAAGTTTTCCAGCATACAGTAAGTATAACATAACCTTGAACCGAAAATAATAGTATTAGGATATATTAATAGTAATTGTTTTTAGATCAGTCCCAACAAGAGAACGGACTGGTGAACTGACTCTAAACTCTGCGTTAAATAATGCTGAAAGGTTATATGAACACAAAATAGTGGGTCCTGAGAATTTCCAAATATGGAATGGCGAACTTTACACATCTCTAGGCACTGGTGAGATTGTCAAGTGCTCACCAGGTGGACATGTTACTTTTGTTACCAAAATTGGTAAACCTTGTAGTAAGTACTTTTTAAATCTTGGTATTGACAATGTTAGTTATTTTAATTATAATATCCATTTAATTCTAGCTGGATTATCCCAAGAACATATTTGTGGTCGTCCTCTTGGTTTTTCAATTGATGAAAAAAATGGATTAATGTATGTAGCTGATGCATACTATGGCATCTGGAAAGTTGATCTTAAGACTGATAAAAAACAAGTATTGGTGTCGGCAGATAAACCCATTGAAGGCAAGATACCAAGGGTGTTCAATTCTTTAGTTGTTGATAAAAAAGGTGGAATATACTTTACAGATTCTAGCAGTGATTTCTTTTTAAATGATGGAGTATTTTCTAGTTTATCAGATCCATCAGGAAGGTAATACCCACTTGTTATTATTTATAGAATAAAAATGTAGGTGTTATTTACTAGGCTTGCAATTCTTAACCCGTATATCGGCCACTTAAATGCCAGTTGTGTACCAAAGGATTTTTTGACAATGGTTTTCATTATAAGGAATTTGTTAAATCTGATCTGCAATTACAACCAATGGGTCTGGCACAGTAGCCAGATTTGTAATGTCAGTGAAGGTGGTTTGCTTATATATGAATCAAAATGATATAACAATTTTTTTTATGTTTTGTATAAAATATATAAAGCCTTAACTCAAATTTTTACTTCATGAGTTAAGCAAGAGACACAAATATATATACTAAACCAAAATTATTGTGTTCAACAGATTATTTTATTTCAATTCTGAATCAAAGAAAACTAAAGTATTGGTGGACAATATTTGGTTTGCAAATGGAGTAGTATTATCTCCAGATGAGAGTTTTGTAGTTGTATCTGAAACATTTAATTACCGTCTCTTAAAGCACTACATAAGTGGACCAAAGAAGGGAAAGACTGAAGTTTTTGTAGATGGACTACCAGGTATATTTATGTGATTTCATTATCATAATGTATGTTTATACATTAATAATGAGCAAGTACAAATTCCAAGACACATTATATGCATGTTTATCATTATCAATTATACTTAGTGACAGTATTATTTTTAATATTTGACATTAAAATGTCTTTAGACATTATGATAGTGATATATTAATTATTATGACCAAGAAATGTATCCACGCAACTTAGACTTTAAAAGAATATGCTGTTGCTATTTGAAAAACGATTTATTTATTTTATCTATATAGATTCTTCAATTCTTTTGAAGAATTATTTATCTAAATTCTACTATGTCCATTAAATAATTTTTTTATCATATAGACTTGCAAAGTCCCAACAAAAATCATAAGAGTAATCTGACATGCTGACCACACATCAACGATAAATGTGTCTTCTAATGCTAGGTATCCATCTCGGGTTTTTGTTGCACTGTAGATATCTAACATATGGCGCGCTCGTATCACATAGTTAAGCGTACGTGTTACAGAGTCTATAATGACTGACACTGGTATAACATATGTTTCATCATTTTCATCTACACCAAACCATTCAACAATTTCCTCTTTATGTTCCTCTTCATCTTCCCCAATAACACTCACATCAATATCTTCTTTTTTATTTTTTTCTTCTATCACCACATATACAAAGACAAGTTTTGAATTCATTAAACTATGTGTATTGTCTAAGCAGAAAATATAATCACCTTCATGTTCCAAATCCATTATTATGGAATTTTGCGACTTCTTATGGTCAGAAATAATTTTATCACCATTTGGACTAAAGACATCCACTGATATATCCAAATCTCCATGTTGACCATCCAGAACTTGATAAAAGAACTCCATAATTTGTCCAGATTTGCCTTTTTCGAAAATACATGTTCTAGTTCCTGCATCAACTCTCATATTCACATCCGATTCAAATATCTCTTGTGTTTTTATAAAGTAAAAATGGCAAATAATTACTCCAATTGGTAATAGATACATTTTGTATAAAAAAATTTCTTACAAAATGATTGAAACTGTCAATTGTTTAAAAGCCTGTTTTTTCCAATACTTGTCTGTCTATGAATGTTTACACAAGTGTTCTTAAAGATTAACAATGGTGAACAAATATTATACAAACCTTAAAAATATTACAAATAGCTATGCATTAAACTGAATACTAACTATAATATAATGATGAAATAATCAGCATAATATATGTATTTGCTTAAGGTACTCCTGATAATCTACGGGCACTACCAGATGGATCTGGTGTACAAATTGCAATGTTTGCAGTATCTGATATTGATACACCCATAATAACAAGGAGTCTATCAAGCACTCCACACTTAAGAAAGTTTATATCTCGCATAGCACATCTTATAGAACTGCCCTTTTCATACCTGAACCAAAAATTTCCACATCCTATTTTGGAAGAAATAGTATACTATGTAAGTATTTGTTCTATTTTTATATTTTATTTACAATTAAAGCAATACAGCTTTAGAAACAGTATGTCCACAGATTGGTTCATTTGCAAGCGTATCAGGTCTTACTGACATATCAGGACTGATTATAACTGACTGGAATGGAAATATTGTTGCATCATTCTACAATACTGATAAGAGTGTGGCCCATATCAGTGATGCCATAGTCTATAATGACAAGCTGGTATTGGGATCCCCACACTCTCAAGATTTTATTGGAGCTGTTGATATACCTCTGTTTTTAAAACAAGCATATAAGGGCCGGAGGCCTGAGGAACAGATGTCTACTAAACAAGCTAAGCCTTCTGTTAAAGAAACTCCAAAACCAGCAGAGAAGGCAACTTCACAGAAATCTCAAACCCAACCACCTACCCGGAAACCTGAATTAAAACAGACACAACCAGAAACCAAATCAACTACACAGAACCCTGAAACCAAACCAACTACACAAAAACCTGGAACCAGAACACCTCCACAAAAACTTGAAACCAAACCAACTACGCAAAAACCTGAAACGAAACCAACTACACAAAAACCTGAAACAAAACCAACTACACAAAAACCTGAAACGAAACCAAGTACACAAAATCCTGAAATCAAACCAACTACGCAAAAACCTGAAACGAAACCAACTACACAAAAACCTGAAACCAAACCAACTACACAAAAACCTGAAACGAAACCAACTACACAAAAACCTGAAACGAAACCAAGTACACAAAATCCTGAAATCAAACCAACTACGCAAAAACCTGAAACGAAACCAACTACACAAAAACCTGAAACTAAACCAACAGGCAAGGCTGCAGCTTCTTCACCCGGTAAAGAAAATAAAGGTGAACCTTCAAAAGCTCAAATAAAACTACCAGAAAATAAGGTATCAGAAGCCACACCGTCTGAAAATATCAAAGGTAAACCAAAATTAAGTAAAGAAAATAAGAAGGAAGCCAAAAATGTTGCCCCTAATCACATTCCAATTGAAGAAGAAATTATGTCCGACACTGTGAAACCAAGTAAAGACAGATTAAAAGTAATAAAGAAGAGTGGACCAGAAGAAATTCCAAATCCACATTAAGAAACTTAATATAAATTAATTTGTAGTATTTTTTTTTAATTTCAAAATTTTAAGTATTCTCATTACAAGTAAGTTAACATTCCAATGTAATCTTTTTTGGTGTAAGGTAATTTTATATTTATTTGCTTCGATATGATTAAGATAGCACTGACAATGTGCAATAATTTGTGATCTTTTGTCATTTAAAGTGGTGGTTGTCTTCAGCGGTTGTACGGTTAATATTTTGAAATTAGTTTTATATAAGGTGAAAGTACCTCAATGTAACAAAGCATGGTTGTTATATCCACTAAAGATAAATATTTATATATTGTTATAGAAGTTTATCTCTTTTACAAAAGGAATCATCATATTTTTTAATAAATTATATTTTTTACTGAATTTTACTTGTTCCTTTTAAAAAAATATTTTGACATATATTGCAGTCAAGTTTAGGTCAACTTTATTTGTCGATTTAGGTAAAATAAAGATACATATAATAGTTTAGAAACCTTCTTTATTTCTTAATCATAATACATAAATATAAAACATACTGGAATGTCAAGAAATTAGTACATAATTAGAAATATGTGAAAGTAAAATTTTACGTTCAAAGTAAACAAATTCGTTTATATCTGTATTTCAGAACTCTTAACAACATTTTTACATTATTAAAGTATATTTTACTAACTAATTTCTACATTTAATATTAGCATCCCGTTGCTCATTAGATTCTACAAAAATAATTATGAAAAAACTGAAATGCTTTTAAAAAAGAAACCTACTACACCAGTACCATTTCCTACGTCGAGTGATCCTCGGGGCCGTCAGATTGAGACAGTAACATAACAAACTCGGCCCACGAATACTGCATATGAAAGTCTTTTCAGTACATAGGCCTAAGTCCCAATCTTCATACGACATAGAATTTAGTACGCGTGAAAAAGCAGCGATTTACCCGTTTCCGGTTATCGCTAGATGAAGACTTGTTCAGCGGCGAGAGCGTCGGCGAAGGGCTTCACCACTCCGCGCGTTGCAAAGTAAAAGATGAGCCCGAAGGCGATCGATATGGGCAGAGCCGGGAGCGCCTTCTTGAATATCGCCAGCAGCAGCAGGGTTAGGCAGAGGCCCTGGAAATATTTAATTTGCGTTCTATTATTTAATCTCTAAGGGGTTTCGACGGCATAGACGACACGTCCATAACTGACTTACGATGAGAATAGCGACGAAGCAGGCGAGCGTCGTATTCCAATCGCCGTAGGAGCTGGCCTTGCCCACCAACACACTGTAGAATATGAAGTCACCCAGACCCAGTTTCACGCCCTCTGCAACAATTATGGTATAGTTTGTATGTACCGTAACAACGTAAATGTATCGTGCACATAGACGTCGAGGAAGGACTCACTCTCCTCTTCCGACTCGTACTGCGGCTGCGGGTGCCTCTCGACCCTCGTGGTGTAGCTGACGGGCGTGGTGTCGACTCTGAGTTGTCGGGGCGTCGGGGTCTGTCTCGGCCACTGTTCAAAGCCGCCCTCGTCAGTCGCGCTACGACGCACCGGGCCATCGCGGCGAACGTCAGTGTCTAGAAAATAAATATTATTCTAATAATTAGTATTTAATAGATTATTTAATTATTAGTCTATATAATTGGTGGTTATTATTGAAGTACGGCTCTAGATAGTTTAGTACTAATAATGTTTTGAAGAATACTAAATTAAACGATAGTTAATTAATTTATATACGAAGTATGAAGATGTTTGGTAATTTTTTGAATGTCGGTCCCAAAACCCCATCGACAGCCTATCTTCAAATTAAATGATGATCTTCAGAGGGACAACAATGCCTAACGAAATGAATATACTTGACAGTTATGGACTCGGCAAATAATAAATAAGATTTAACTAAAATTAGTCTGGTTTGAGTTTATCGGAATTAACACCTTTAATTGATAAAGGAGTCAATTTCGAAAAAATTAAATGTAAACTAAAATATAGTAGAATAGTCTTCAGAGTTATACTAATTAAAGGAGTGTTAACATAGAAGCATGTCGTGTATTCGTCTGGCATAAGCTTTGATTTAAAAACGAATTATTAGATAATTGTTAAGTGCAAAGTTCGAGCAACAGACCGTGCGTGAGTGGGCGCAGCTCACCTTCCCCCGCCCCGCGCTCCCCTCCTGTCCCTGATCCGCTTCCTTCGACTCCAGCTGCCACCAGGCAGTACATTACCGTGGCTGCAAACATCATTATACTATTTTCAATCTTCATACAAATATACTACAGCAATCTCTTCAAACGATATGATGCATTTAAAAGTGTGGAAATATTAAAAAAAAAATTTTTTTAATTACTATTATAGCGGCATATTTATGAATTAAAAGTAGTAAAAACTACTTACATGAATATATAAGAGCAGGAAATATAGGTTCATTTCGTTCCTGCGCCGTTTCCACTAATATTCTAAGTGGTCCTTTAGGCGTTAAGACGGCTATTAGATCTGGAAACAGTATATTATGTCTAATAAAATCTCTATAACAAATAAGAATTAATTAATAATGTAAGTAGTCAGGTACCCCATATAGAAATAACAGCAAGAACGGCCCATGTAGTCCACTCCGGTAGATATTTGATGAAAACCAAAGCCATTAAAGCTGCTATAAAAATCAAATATGCCTGCTGCAAACGCAAAGGCCCTTTCCAATGAATTACTATCATTCCCACGACACCAAAGTTCCACATAACAAATGTTAAGGTGATGTAATCCATAGGTATATGGTATGCTCGGAGTGCTTCTCTAAAATACATGATTTAAATAAGATTTAAGTTAAGGTTCATTTGATTAGTTTTGAATATTTGTTTTTGCATATTGGCTAGCATACTTTTTACAAAATAAAATAATATACCCAAAGCATATACATAAAGCTGCTCAGCTCTCATACGTTATGTATTTTCTCTTACATTAAACTAATAAACTATATAAACTAAGCTATGTACCACCCTTCTCATGTTACCTCTTTACACAACTTATGCCATTGTCGTCAAGTGTCTCAAATGCAATGATCTGTGAATTTGATTTAATGGAGTGTCTTATAGAAGTTGTTAAACTATTTGTAATCTCGTAATAAAAATGAACAGGGAGGTTTATACAAGAGCGTAGTGGAAGAAATAAATTAATATATATCCCATGGAAACTGTCAAACTGAATTACTGGCACAACACCAACTTTAGCTTAATTGTTAATATGCACATAACTAATCTGTTTACGATTGCTTAGCTTCGGAGAAGAATCACTTGGTCCGCAACTGGCGTAGTTAGGAAAAGATCGTCGATAATCATATTAATTAGAGAAAATAAAATTATGGCTACATAATACTTACTCAATATATAGATAAGAAAAGAGGAAGAGCAACATCAATGATGATATAATAAGCCATCCGTGTATTACTTTATAACACCGCTTTTTGTAGAGCACAATAAGCAGAACCGTCATCATTGCTATAACACTTAGAAGAATCATTGAGTTTGCGAGGGCATTCCATACTTTTGTCACAGCATATGGACTTTCTTCATGAAAAGGTGTGTATGCTCTACAACAAATCAAAATTATATTTTTCAACCACAACAATTTTATTTGTAACAACAAGTATGAAATATAATATTGTTTCTACTTATTTTATGACGTAAATTTATCATATCTTTGTGTTAGTAAGTTCTAAAAAGAGTATATTCTTTGCAAATAACCTAATACTCACAAATATACATCCTTTACTGAATAAAATTGTATTGATGATATAGTAGCAACAACAACAATCATACACAAAGTAACTGGTACAAAAAGTTTTATAACATGTCGTGCACCATATTTAAGTTCCAACTCTTCAGCAGGTAGTTGAGCAGGAGCAGGTGCTTGTGAACCTGAGCCACCAGCGGCACTGGAAGAGCTTTCTTGAGGCTGTGCCACTGACTGAAATAAGTAAAGTTATGTGAGTTTTGTTATTGTTCTAGTATTTGTATCTACATGGCCCTTTAAAAATAAAGTCTCCTCCATATTTTTCCATTTATCTTTGTCTTAAGCAACATTCACCCAGTTATTCCGCTAGTTCTATTTTGTTGCCTGTCCATCTTATCTTTTGATTTCTTATGCATATCTTGCCAGTAGGCCCAGTTAATTATGTGGTTTCAATTATCCATCTTCTATCACAAACTCTAGACATAGGACCCGCTCATATCCAATTAAGCCTTAGAGTATGAACAAGTCCGTCTGTAAGTTTTGTTATGTTATGTATATATAAATTATGACTAAATTTATTTCTTCTAATTTGTAATTAAGTAAGTATTTGTATATTCATTTTATTTTCCAAGCAAAAGTGTAATTTTTAAATGGTCTATAAGTTTTGATGTTATTTCTTCACTAGTCTTAAGTGAGCTTAGTCTTTATATATGATCTTCGACTCATCTTTTTTTTTGTTAGCAATAGGCATATTAGCATTTCGAAAGTCTGATGGGAAGTTAACATTTCTTATTAATTCTTATATTGGTTATATATAACCAATATAGAACTATAGTTTCGAAATCTAGATAGTTTATTGTTTTTTGGGCAGTTGATATCCAATATCCATGTCCATTTAGTGTGATTGTTTTACGCATTTTGTACTTATACAATTATACAAACGCCTTAGCGTTCTTGTAGTAACGATATTTGCTCATTATTTCTTAATACTTTTACTAAGAAATGAAAACTAAACGATTATTGTATCCATTCATTAAAAAAAATACAATTATGATGTTAAGAAAAGAGTTTCATGTACCGATTAGTCATACAAGACTTGAGTGGGTGTTACTTACTCCATAGTTACGCTGGGCATCAGCTTTAGTTTTTCTTTTCCTAGCGAGTCTCTCAGCAATCTCGCGGTCGGGGCGAGCCTCTGCTATGTGGCCGTCCATGAGTGCTGTATGCTCGGTCACTTCTCTATCACTTTCTGTATCACTCATCCATAAAACTTAATACGCACTTCATATTATACAATTCATAGATGCATTTTTATAATAATGCTACTTTATTCAATTATACGTAATTACTCATTCATAATTCAGTTTAATTATACATTTCGGTTGTTGTTATTTCGTTTTCGGTTTTCAAGATTTTTTTACCTATATACAATTAATATCAACCTAATTCCTAAAGGACGAACGCAGAAAAGTTACAGAGAATATTGACATATAGGTGCATGATTACTTTAATTTAATAGATTTCAGCTTTAGTCTGTGGAGCTTTCATTGACGAAGTACTAGTCCGTTCATAATGGTAGTTGGTATAGGTCGGTTATCGAAAGCTGGCGCGTTCACAGTACTTACACTAATGCAATTTCACTATACAGAATGTTTAAAAATATGACTTTTTTTTGCCAAGCTATATATTTTAGTCTACTCTGGTTTTAGTAAGGTTGGGTGGGTAGTAGATAAATAAAAATGTGTCAAATACATATAAATATTATGTGCATACGAGGGTGGATCCAAAAGTTCTAAGCCCGACCAAGAACGTAAAAGAGTAGTTTGTGTAAATAATTTTTAATTTTTCGACATAAGCTCCATCTAGCTCAACACACTTCACTTTTACTTCACTAACAATTCTTTCAATACTCCTCTTAGAAACACCAGCCGAATCTGATGTCAAATTAAAAATTACATTTTTTCATTAAACTGTTTTTATTAAGATGCTTAAAATAATTTAAAACTTTGTGCACCATTTCACGAGATTGTCCTGGTAATGTTTAGACGGAATATATTTCATAAGATATTTTTTTCAAAGTATTCTAACCTCCAACCAAATAAGTAAACAAAATAATAATGAGAAAAAAGATCAACATGTACAGTAAAGATCAACATAAACAGTAGCAAAAGCAAAACAATAACAGTCTCTTTTATACTCATAAGCTTGACCGGGCGCGAGAGAGACGGACAGTCTTTTCATTATGCATATTCAGTGTGACATCACGCCTCGCGCTTATTCACAGACACTACACAAGCACAAAGTGTAAATGTGTTGAAGCCGCCAGCTTTAGATAACATACCAATACTGCGTCTGCTACCAGTAACATGAGATAGCAAACCAGACCATGTAGTAAACTAAATTTGTATGAAAACTTTTCGCCACGAACTGTCATTTCCATACAAATTTAGTTTTCGACTTTCTACATACACTACTGTTAAGGCATTTTGACTTAGGCCCCAGTAAAATTTAGTAAATAGTAAATACCATCAATGAACTTGTCCATCATCTATGACTAGTAATATACTCTTTAGTCTTTGATATTGAGGATTTCATCAGGTGATGCCAACTTGGGCGTTTTCCCCTTAAATTTAGGGGGAGTTTTTTCCGCGAGATATCAAATGAAGTGCATATTACTAGGCCATTAAGCAATACATATAATATATGTCACATGTATCATATATGTATGTAAATGTGTAAAATGCACCACAACAACCGCTATTTTATTCTACTTGAATGTATTTTAATTCATATTTAAAACTATCTCTCATTCCGAGCGTACAATAATAAATTTAGGGGTTTTTAGTCGATATCTAGGGGTATATGAAGTTGATTCTAGGGGGAATATTTTGTAGGAGTTGGCATCACTGAGTTAGTGTCAGGTAGTGACTACCAATTTATTTGTGAGTTGTGTAATGTGTTAACACTGATTTGACAAAATAATTTCATTTCAATCTAAACAAAGAGTCCCTGTTGTGAATTTTGCATAATTTTTATTGTTTTTTTCAAAATATAATATTTTAGTTATGTCATATCAACTCTATAGGAATACTACTATTGGCAATACATTGCAGGAAAGCCTTGATGAATTAATTCAAGTACGTGCAAAATGATTATTTCTGTTATTTACTATTTGCTAAAGTAACTGTATTAATGACACTGTTTCAGTATGGACAAATAACACCGACATTGGCCGTTAAAGTATTATTACAATTCGATAAATCTATTAATCAAGCGTTATCGAGCAGGGTAAAATCTAGATTAACCTTCAAAGCTGGAAAATTAAATACATATAGGTATGGAAGCTGTATTTTATTTACTGTTTATGTCGTAGTTACTTTGCTTTTCAATACCGTCATTCGATTTGGATGTTTAACTTTTGTTTTTTTTTAATGAAACCTCTACCCACAAAAGCTTTCTGCACAAAAATAATAAATACAAAATAAATTTGTGAAATGTGTATTAATTATATTTTCAACACAAAACAATTGCTTATATAGCTAATATTAATATTTAAACTATAAATAAATGAATATTTAACATATTACAGGTTTTGTGATAATGTTTGGACTTTTATGTTAAATGATGTTGAATTCAGAGAAGTTCATGAAGTGGCTAAAGTGGATAAAGTTAAAATAGTGGCATGTGATGGCAAAAGTGAGTATGCAGATTGAAAATAAAGTTATTCCTAAGTTTCTCTATATTTATGGTTTTAAAACCATAGTTTTTGCAAATAGGAAATAATTGTATGTCTGTATTACTTCAGTCTAGAGAAACATTTCATCAGATTAAACAATTAAATTAAATTGCACATTATTTCCAAGAGCTATGGATATTGAAACAACTACATAGAAATTAGGTGGTTATTAACTAATAGTGTTAAAATAATTATTAAGACTCTTGTAAGTAAGCAAAACCTACAGAGTAAGGGAGCAGTAGTTATAAATCGAACTATTGAGACACTTTAAATGTTTATTACTGTAAATAACTTAAAATTGTTTGTTTCAGATGTGGAAGACCGTAGATAATGTTACTTAGAATTACTCTGCCCATACAAAATAAGCTATTTAGCCTTTGTCATTGTACCATGGACTTATTACCTAAATAAATCATTTAAGTATCCAAAAATAGTAATTTTTTGAGTAGTACATATCCACAAGGAAAGTAAACTTCAAATTATTTAAGCCTTATTAAATAATTGACTCTTTATCATCTATAACTTTTAAATCATGTTAATAAAAATCATGAAGAGTGAATTAAAAGTTATAGCATAGATTTATTTACTTTCTCAAATAAAGTTTTTAGAATAAAGAATAAACATAAGTAATTATTTTATGGTTTTTTTTATAACTCTGGGTTTTTATTTATATATTTTTGTAAATTTGTGGAAATTGTATTCGTTTTTACAACAAACTCCCAAGCGAAATTAGAGTATTATCACTAAATAAATTCAAAGCCCTCGTTAAACGAAAATTAATCAACAAAGCTTTTTATAAATTTGAGGACTACTTAAATGATCCTAATCCTTGGGATTGAATTGCTCCAGTTCAAACAATTTGTATGACAATACTTGGCGATTAAAAAGAGTGGCGGAAAGTTTCTTGCCAGTTCTTCTTACCCGCTCTACGCCCTTGACTTGCGAACTGGTAGTAAATGTAAATTTACGATTAATTTAACTTGACGATTCAAAAGTGTACTTGGTTACCCACTTGAATAAAGATATTTTGAGTTTGAGTTTAAAGTATCCATTTTCTGCGCATTGCACTGTACCTCGCAGACTAACAACACGAAACATGAATGTAACGAGATCGGCAACTAGAAGTGCCAACTCTAATGGGCAAAATATGCCTAACTTTGATTGTTTTACATATTCCACGTCAGATTCGGACTTATCGCACCTTACACAACGCTTCAAACTAAAGCAAACAGATGACAATGCATTTACAGTCGACTCTCGATAATTTGGAAATCAAGGAACAAACTAGAAATAAATTTCTAATTACCAAGAGTTCAAAATAACTAGTGTTTAAATAACCACGAGAGGGACTCAAGTAAATAAGAATTTGATAAATATTCTTGATTTCTTATTTCTTTATTATTATTATGTAGGTATTAACAATTTAGTACAATATTATTCACCGATTTTTATTTCGAAAGAAGATCTGCCGTAATCTTTATGAGTGAGTTACTTCCGTTTATCAGTCATGATGTCATCAAACATTAACCCACCGCTATTGGCATAGCCTGTAAGGATAATATATGTATTTCTGTAATAATAATAAATGTATGTAGTAAATAAAACATGACATATAATGCAGTTCACATATAATAAGCTCTCATAGGGAAAATCCTATGCAAAACGTTACAAACAAGATTTCATAATACATATAGTTGGTTTTTACACATAAACTAAGATTTGTACAATAAAACAAAATATGCATAAAAAAATAATGATTTGTCATTATAATATAAATTTGCCATAAAATTATAAACTGTTTAAATAACCTAAAAATATGCAATTTACAATGTCTGCATTAGTTAAAACATAACTAATTTTAAAGTGGTAAAATAATAATCACAATATTCATTCTTGTTTCTTTAGTAATATTAGCTAAATAACCATCTTCAAATGCATTATAAATAATGAACTGGGCATTTCAGACGCCATGTATATCCACACCAATTACATCATATGTAATTATATTTTATTAAACCAGTAAGGTCAATCTGCATCTCCGACACCTGATTATAAAGACATTTAACACCGACACCACATCTAAAGGTTATATAATTAATATGTATGTTAAAAACGGTTGAGCATTCGGAGGTTAAATGGCCAAAGATGTATCACATACAGGACTTTGAAATTCCACACATAACTATCGGCTTAAGCGCAATAGCTAGGAGGAGAAGTCAGATCGGCCAACAAATCCAGTTCATCTTCGGTGAGTTGTTCCCTGTGCTTCGGCCAGTCGTCTTGGTGAGTCCGCTTGAAGTCCGCGAGGGCGGTTCGTATCGTGGCCGGTATGGGGTCCGGGGCGTTGGTGTGCTTCGCCAACTCCGTCAGAACGTCCCCCAATCTCGGCCCGAGACCGTAGGGCCGGGAAGACATGTAGGCGCAGAGACCCAGGACTCCGCAGTGTCTCTCGCCCGACTCTTTGGATCGGGCGCTCCGGATTAAGGACTGGAGAGTTTTATCTTCGTCGGGCAAAGCTCGGCAGTGCATTAAGCCCGTCAAAACTTTGGCGGCGGATTGTCGGACCTGGAACACGTATTGTGATTTATTTAACAAATGTAAATTGTGGCAAATACGGTTGTATAATATATAGAAGTGCACCGACCTCAACTCTACTATCTCTCATGAGCTTCAGAGCGAAGGCCTCGGCTCGCACGGCCCTCTCTGGCCGGTCGCACAGCATCGGAAGACCATAGAACAGCAGCGGGATGGCGAAGTCCAGACAGGCCAGACGGGCCCACCAGGACCGACCGTTCGCCAGCTCCTCCAAAACGTTCAAGACGCGGTCGAAGGTCTCTCCTCGGTAGTGAACCTGGGCGAGGGCCGCCAGGAAGCCCCCGGCCGCCCGAGGGAGCTCCTCGTGAGGCCGGGTGGAACCTTTGGAGGCCAAAGCGCAAGCTAGAGGCACCAGTTTGAAATGTGTCTCCAAGTTTGTGTTGACACCGCGAATCACTATGCCCATGCAACCGCTCAGAACTGGAAAAATATATCAGAAAAGCAATTAAAACAAATATTGTTGATTTATTTAAAATTTTGTTGCTTTACAAAACCAGTACAAAGAGAACATAAGAAATAAGGAGGGCAAAATTTTTCAGTGATTGTATTGTACCTGTGGTTAAAAGATTGACAGCTCTCTCGTGAGGCGCGTGCGCAGCCGCCACGGCATCTCCTGTAAAGTGCAAGGCAGCCTGAAGTCGCTCCGTTAATTCTGTCTCGAGAGGACAGTCCTCCTCCATCTCCCTCAGCTGCAGTTCAGTTTCCGAGCCACTAGGTGGACCTGTCTGAAATATTTAAATATATTAAATAAATAAATAATATACTCAAAAGTAAGTGTTCGGATTTCATTTAAACATTGACCAACTGCTGACACGGCTCACGTGTTTCTTCTAAATTTTAACAGCTGAAGGTGCGCGATACACATCTCGCAGTAGTATTTAAAGATATTGTTTTATAATAATAAATCAGATTTGAATATTGCTCTGTCTTATTCATTTCTCGTTTCCTCTCAAAGTCGCGAAGACTCCTTCAAGCCCTAATTATCGTGGTGATGCGTGATAGCTTTTACAAAATCCCACCACTTTTCACCTCTTATACGTAAGGCTCGGTCTGTTACCTTAGGTCTCTCGGTGCAGACATCCCGTACTTGTTAATATATTCACTATTTATGTGTTAGAGTACATCTGGCTCAGGGATCCGTAGGGTTCCTCGGTGGTCTCAGCTACGTCATAATCTTCTAATTTTAGTTCTGTGATGGGGCTTACGTTGCTCTGCCTAGCGTTATCAAAAGTTATCGAGGTATGGAATACAGTGGTATCCTTCTGTGAGCAAGTAATGCTACAGACGAAGACAGCAGAACGAGAAGACGAATTCTTGGGTTAGAAGACGCGGAGTAAATAGGAGAAGATATGCCCTCCTATGTCTTATGAAGCGTATGCTGCACGGGAGGTATCGGCGTAACAATTATGTAGTTAAGGCCCCGGTAGAATGCGAGAAAGACCCCGGAGCCTCTGTAACGTGGCTTTGTAGGAACTACTCGAGGTTAGTGGGTGTTGCTCACCTCGTCTCTGAATAGCAGAGATTCTGGTGTAGGTCCCGTCCCACATACCCATGCAACTTTCGGGGGTAAATTATTTCCATTTCCACTTCAGATACATACAAATAAAGAGATCCTTAAGGTTCCTAGGCCTTACCCTCTCATATAAATATATCTAGTGCAGCTTGCTACATATACTATACAGTAGAAATATCTCTTTTTATAATTCTTTTTAAAAATAAAACTATAAAATAACCTGCGAGTCCGTATGTGCGTGTGTCCGGTCCTTGTGAGCGTGCAGCAAAGGCCTGAACTGCTGCATCATGGCGAAACCTGTCTTCGGAGCCATCTGGGAGCTGCTGCACGGCGTCGATATTGAAGCTACTGATTTAATTACTGCAAAGTAAAGAATAATGAAATTTTGACTGTTTCTTAAGTTAATTAAAAAGTTGCTATAGTAAACTAATAACCTTTTCTAAAGTCAGTTAATTATAATATTGATACTGACCAATGTCTCCCTTCTCGTCGTACAAAGCAGCCAATCGAGGCTGGACGGAGTCCAAGAAGCGCTCAAGACTCGGCGCTAAACAAATCTCTCCACCCGGGAACATTACTTCCAAGTTGAATATCATCATCAAGACACTGAAGCAATAATACAATGTCAACACTCAACACGCCGTATAGTCATAGACAACATTTAAATACCATTTCAGTTTATTATTTATATGTGAGTATAGAAATTGTTAAAAATTCAAATTAAACATTCTTGATTAATTGGAGAACCCGCCAAAACACTTCTCGAGACAAAATGGCGTCGCACCGGTCCTATGACGTACCATGCTTGTAAATACGGTAATAAAAGTCTTTTACGTGTCATTCAGTAAGTATTTCCGAACCAATTCGACTTAGGGTCCTTCAAGAAAAGAGCGTACCAATTTTTGAAAGGCCGGCAACGCACTTGCGAGCCTTCTGGCATTGTGAGTGTCCATGGGCGGCGGTGTCACTTAACATCAGGTGAGCCTCCTGCCCGTTTGCCTCCTATTACATAAAAAAAAAAAAAAAAATTCCTCAGTGTTTTACCAAAGCCCAGACCCAGAGCTTCTTTGGACATATAGCATGCAAAGATATCTTGGAGAAGTTTGTGATGACTGGTAGAGAGACAGAGAGACGACACTCGCCGGACCAATTTAAGATCCTTACAGACCTGAGCTTTGCAGGAGACAGGGGAGAATGGAGGAAGATATGCGACTTTACTACAA